GGCTGGGGGCGGCGTCGCACGAGGCCGGCGGGCCGTGGGAGGAGGGGAGTGTTTGTGTAGAGGTGCTCCGCGACCCGGTGTTGGTCCGGGTTTGCCGCGGCTGACGGTTGGCTCTTTGACGTCCGTTGTGCGGGATCGCCGCGGCGAGCCGGGGAGCGCCCGTCGTGACACAGTTGCGGGTGTTTTTTCTGGCGATGAGGACTTGCAGGCCCTTTGAGACACACGGATCGCTGTCCGTAACGGTGGGCCCCGTGACCTGAGACGTCGTTTACCGCTGAAGCGTGCGCCTGACCGCCCTCCCCGCCAGCCACCCCTGGCCGCCACCGGTGGCTCTCCGGGAGCTTTTGTTGTTGTTTTGCCTTTTTTAGGTTATACACGTAAGTGGAATGGAAGCGTGGTTGTCCTTCCTTGTCTGACTCATTTCGTTGAGCGTAATATCCTCAAGGTGCGTCCGTGTTGTCACAGATGCAGGGAGTCCTTTTTTATGGCTGACTAATACTCCGGTGTGCACGCGCGCGTGCACACCCGCCTCACCTTTTGTGCATCCATTAATCAGTGGGCACTTGGGTAGTTTCCCTACCTTGGTTATTGTAAATAATGCTGCAATGAAAATGGGGGTGTATGTATGTTTATGAGTTACCATTTTCATTTCCTTTGTATAAATACCAAGAAGTAGAATTGTTGGGTCAAATGGTAGTTTTATTTTTATTTTTTAAAAAGATTTATTTATTTTAGAGAGAGCGTGCGTGCTTGCAAGAGAGAGAGTACTCGAGCAGGGAGAGGGGCCGAGGCAGAGGCAGAGCGACCGAGAGAAGCACACTCCCAGCTGAACAGGGAGCCCGACACTGGGCTCCACACTGGGCTCGACATCCATGACCCTGAGATCGTGACCTGAGCCGAAACCAAGAGTCAGACGCTCAACCTTCTGCACCACCCATGCACCCCCGCAGCAGTTTTATTTTTAATATTTTGAGGAACCTTCATAGAGACTGTACCAGTTTACATGCCCACCAACAGTGCCCAAGGGTTCCCTTTTCTCCACATCCTTACACACTCGTTATTTCTTTTTTCTTTTTTTTTTTTAAAAGATTTTATTTATTTATTTGACAGATAGAGACAGCGAGAGAGGGAACACAAGCAGGGGGAGTGGGAGAGGGAGAAGCAGGCTTCCCGCGGAGCAGGGAGCCCGATGCAGGGCTCCATCCCAGGACCCCGGGATCATGACCTGAGCCGAAGGCAGACGCTTAACGACTGAGCCACCCAGGCGCCCCTATTATTTTGTCTTTTTGATAATAGCCATCCTAACAGGTGTGAGGTGATAGCTCATTATAGTTTTGATTTGCATTTTCCTGATGATGAGTGATGTTGAGCACTTGTACACTTGTACTTGTGCATGTACTTGTTAGTCATCTGTATGTATGTCTTCTCTTGAAACACAACTGTTTGGATCTGCCTTTTGTTTTTTTTAAGATTTATTAAATTATTTGAGAGAGGGACAGAGAGAGCGAGCAGGGGGATAGGGAGACTAGCAGACTCCCTGCCGAGTGACTTGATCCCACAACCCTGAGGTCATGACCCGAGCTGAAATCAAGTCAAACACTTAACTGACTGAGCCACCCAGGCTCCCGTGCTGCCTGTATTTTAATTGGATTGTGTTTTTGATTTTGAGTTGTATTAGTGCTTTATATATTTTAGGTATTAATCCATTACCAGATATATAATTGGCAAATATTTTCCCAAATTCAGTAGGTTGCCTTTTCATTTCGTTGATGGTTCTCTTTGCAGTACAGAAGCATTTCAGTTTGATGTAGTCCCACTTCTTTATTTTTTGCTTTTGTTGACTTTGTTTTCAGTGTTGAATCCAAAAAATCACCACCAAGACTGAGGAGAAGGAATTTACTGCTGGTGTTTTCTTCTAGGAGTTTTATGGTTTTAGGTCTCACATTTAGGTCTTTAATCCATTTTGAGTTTATTTTTGTTTATGATTTAAGTTGGCGGCCTAATTTCATTCTTTCGCATGTGGCTGTCCAGTTTCCCAACACCCATGTATTGAAGAGACTATCATTTCCCCATTGTATATTCTTGCCTTCTTTGTTGTAAATTAATTGACCTCTTATATGCATGGGTTTATATCTGGGCTCTCTTTTGTTGCATCAATCTGTCTGTTTTTATGTCATTACTATACTGTTTTGGTTACTGTAGTTTTGTTATATAGTTTGAAATCAAGAAATGTGACGCTTCTGGCTTTGTTTTTTCTCAAGATTGCTTTGGCTATTTGGGGTCTTTTGTGATTTCGTATAAATTTTAAGACTGTTCTATTTTTGTGAGAAATGCCATTGGAATTTTGATCAGGATTGCACTGAATCTGTAGATGGCTTTGTGTAGCATGAACATGTTAATAGTTTTCTTCTAATCCACGAGCGCAGAATATTCATTTATTTGTGTCTTCACTTTCTTTCATCAGTGTCTTATAGTTTTCAGTGTGTAGGTTTTTCACCTCCTTGTTAAATTTATTCATAGGTGTTTTATTCTTTTTGATACATTTTTTAAATTAATTTATTTGACGGGGGGGGGGGAACACAAGCAGGGGGAGAGGGAGAAGCAGGCTTCCTGCTGAGCAGGGAGCCCAATGCGGGACTCGATCCCGGGACCCTGGGATCATGACCAGAGCCCAGGGCAGACGCTTAACAACTGAGCCACCCAGGCGCCCCCTTTTTGATGCATTTGTAAGTGGGATTGCTTTCTTAATTTTTTTTTCTGATAGTTCATTATTGATTTTTGTGTCTTGCAACTTTACCGAATTTTCATTCTTAGCATTCTTAGAGTCTTTTGATGGAGTCTTTAGGGTTTTCCATATATAATGCCATATTATCTGCAAATGAGACAGTTTTTTACTTCTTTTTTTCCTATTTGGATGTTTCTTATTTTTCTTGCCTAATTGCTCTGGCTTGGACTTCCAGCACTATGCTCAATAAAAGTGGTGAGAGTGGGCATCCTTGTCTTGTTCCTAATCTGAGAAGAAAGCTTTCTGCTTTTCACTTGTGTGTATAATGTTAGCTATGAGCTTGTTGTCTGTCACCTTTATTATGTTTAGGTACATTCCCTCTATACCCACTTTGTTGCAGAATTTTTATCATGATGGGCATTGAATTTTGTCAGAAACTTTCTGCATCTGTTGAGATGCTCATATGATTTGCATCCTTTGTTTTGTTAACATGTATCAGGTTGATTGGTTTGTGGATGTTGGACCATCCTTGTACCCTTGGAATAAATCCCACCGGATCATGGTATATGAGCCTCTTAATGTATTGTTGAATTTGGTTTGCTAATGTTTTGGTGAGGATTTTGGCAGCTGTGTTTGTCAGGGATATTGGCCTGTAATTTTCTTTTCTTGTGGTGTCCTTGTCTGGTTTTGTTATGAGGGTAATTCTGGCCTTGTTGTAGAAGCACTTAGAATTCTCTGAAAGGTTTTCTGGACCATAAGGCCCTCCATTGAGCACATCTCCCAAAAGTCTTTATGTTCAACTGGGAGCCCAGAGCCAGAGCCCTGCCTTTGGTGCAGGTGTGGGCTTGTGTTTAAGGGGTATATATGGGGAAGCTCCATGGAGGGTTATTCTCCACTTGGGGAGCTGCGAGGACGGCAGAGCATGGGTCTCACCTCCCCTGGGGCCGTGTTGCTCACTTCCTAGGAGCTTGTGTCTTCCATGCCCTGTGCAGCGAGCAGCCTCACCAGCTGACTTAATGTCTCCTGTGCTTGCCCAGGAACAGGCCGGGCTCTTGCAATGGGGCACTGTCGCCTCTGCCATGGGAAGTTCTCCTCACGGAGTCTCCGCAGCATTTCTGGCAGGGCACCTGGGGAGAGCTCAGACAGACCACCCCCAGGGGAGCGAGTTTTCATCAGGGACTTCCAGCACTTGCTGGGTGTGGCCGTCCACCAGGACCCAGCTCTGTCTCAGTTTGTCTGCAAGAACTGCCACACCCAGTTCTACCAGTGCCATGGCCTCCTCAAGTCCTTCCTGCAGAGAGTCAACGTCTCCCCGACGGGCCACCGGAAGACTTGCACAAAGTAGGCGTTCCTCCTTCATTCTTTGGTGGGCATTCAGGGGCCAAGCACCCTGCACGCTGGGGCTGTTCTAGGCACAGGGAGTGCTGGGGGGAGCCTCTGCAGTGGGGAGACACATCATGCTGGAGCAGCAGACATGTGTGAGCACCAGTGTGACTGGTGTCAGGGAGATGGACAGACATGCTTGAGGGAGGTAAGGGCCACGAAAGGCTCTGAGTGTAAGGAGACAGCCCTTGGAAGAGCAGTTTCAAACTGCATGTGGGAGAGGTGGCCTGTGAAAGGGATCTGGTGAGCCTGCATCTTGTTCACTGCTAGCCCCACTCATGGCCATGCTGATCCTTTGCAGGGTTGGTGCCCAGCCCCCACCAGGGGCAGAGGAGGGAGCGTGTCTGGGTGAGTGTGCCCCTGTTGTGTGGTGCGTGGGTAGGCTCGAGGTGGGATGGGTGCTGACTGGCCATGGGTGTGGCGTCTCTGTGCCTTTCCTCAGTGGACCTGATCACTTCGAGCCCCCAGGGCCTACGTGACTTGGTGGCATGGGTGCATGGACACGCAGCCAGCTGTGGGGCCCTGCCTAACCTCCAGAGGACACTGTCCTCCGAGTACTGCGGTGTTATCCAAGCCGTGTGGGGCTGTGACCAGGGCCACGACTACACCATGGACGCCGACTCCAGCTGCGGGGCCCTCTTGCTGGACAGTGCGCTGGCAGTCAAGTGGACTTGGGACAAGGACATGGCCCCGTGGCTCACCCAGCATCGGGGATCCAGCCCCACTGGGGCTGCCCCTCAGAGCTCCCGGGGCAAAGCGACCACAGTTCCAGCCGAGACCGAGACACTGCCCAGCACGGACATGGCCCAGCCTCCTTCAGATGTCATCCCTGTAGGGCCTGGGCTGAGCCCCCCACCTCAGCCAAGCTTCCCCTCAAGTGGGGCCCCAGGTAGGAGGCTCCTCTGGGCTGTTAGACCAGGATTCCTAGTCTTGAACCAGGCAGGGCCCTCAGTAGGAAGTAGATGTCTGCACTGTTGTGGGCGGTGGTCATGGTGTTGTGTGCAGGGGTTCAGGGAGAAATGAGGGGGAGCCGGCCTTAGCATCTCCTCCTGGGCATCTGACAGCAGGGAGGGGTTAAGGACCCTATTCCAGCAGTTTCTGTAAAGGCATGCTCGCCTGCCATCTGGTCTTCCTTACTAAGCCTGCTTGGGGCCAGGGGGCCGAGGGAGGCAGAAGAATGGGGTCCTTGTTGTGGGACGTGGGGGAAGAGGGCAGCTGCTGCCTCCGAGGCTGTTTTGTTCCAGCTGCAGGTCATTCCCTGGGTCTCAGCCAGCGTCCCGGTGACATCCCAGTGGGACTCATGTAGACAGGCCCCTCTGCCAACTGGCCAAGAGGAAACACAGGCCCTTGTGTGGGACCCGATCCCACAGTGCTGTGGTTGGGGTGTAGCTGTTGATGGACTGACTTTGTGTTAGGGTGGCTGGGTTCGCTTCCCCCCCTGCTTCTCTCAGCCTCCGTTTGTGCGCCTGTCTGTGCACAGCACTTGGCTGCTCTTGTGTCCGAGCTCTCGGTGGCACTTTTTTAAAAGTGTAACTACCCAGAAAAAAAAATGTGTAGCTACCTAAATAGTTCAGAGAAATGGAGGTGCACAAATGCTGGGAAGGGAGAAGGGAATTGTGTCAGACGTTCTTAGAACTGCTTGGCCTTTTCAGCTGTGCATGGCATGCAATACTTTGCTAACAATGATTTTTTTAAACGTCCTGGAACATCCACAAAGTGTGAGTCGTCCCACTGCGAAACGACTGGATCTAAACCTCTAGGAAGGGCTGGGCTTGCTGATGTGGACTGTCGGCTAGGGTTTCTGATGCCTGGCGCTGCCCATGCCTGTGCTAGTCGTGGGGGTGGTCGGTCTGGTTATGCAGGAACCTTATGGGGGATGGGACTGGGAGGTGGGTGGGATTTAAGGTTGAAGGACCCCAGGCTCCCTGCAAGGAAGGCTCCATTGTCAGACAGGTGCTTGCCTCCTCGCTGGGGAGCACTGCCTGCGCTCCGTGTTGGTAACAGGAGCCTTGTTCTTTGTTTCTCAGGGCGGTTGGGTGAGAAGCAGGTTCCATCTTCAACCTCGGATGATCGGGTAAAAGACGAGTTCAGTGACCTTTCTGAGGGGTGAGAGAAGAGTGGGTTTAAATAGCCTAAAATTCCTCCTTGGAAAACCAAACTCCGCCAACCTGTGTGCTCCCTGTCCGTGTCCTGGCCAGGACCCTCTCCTTCTCTCGGTGGGAAGGAGACGAGTGGCCGAGGGTGCTTCTAAGCTTCTTGTTCCTGATCCAGAGGGCCCCCCAGCCTGAGGCATTTGCAGGGGGAGCACAACCAGGGTGGTGTGGAAATTAGAGTCCCGTGGTCGCTCCTTTGCTGTTGCTGGCTTGTCTCCTTCAAGGGTGTGGTTTTGTGCCAGCCGTAGATGTTACTGAAACAGGAAGTCAGTCTCTGGCCCTTTGTCATGACATGATTGTGACTTGGGGCAGAGGTTCTGTGCAGGACGACAACCCGCCCCGGAAGGGGCACTATCAGGGACTGTTTGCTCCCGGGCCACCTCCTGCTTGTCAGCTGAGAACCACTCATGGTGGCAGCCACACACCAGCTGGCCTCCACACCCTTTCCCCATAAGCTGTGGCTGGAATGCAGTACCCTCATCCAGACAAGTAGGAGGACAGTATGATTTTTGGCTCAACTCCAGTGGGGTGTCAATGAAAAATGACTGAGATGCTGGAAGAACCCAAGTAGGTGTGCTAAAAACACCTCCGGGACCAGGAGTGGTCACAGGTTGTCCTTTAGCCCACCAGCCAGCCTTGAGTCTTTCTTGTCTGGACAGGTGACAGCCTGCAGGGGAAGGCCATGGTGTACCAGCCTGTCTCTGTCCACTGCCCTGTAGAGACTGAATTCATGCTTTAGGGTAAAGTTTACAGATACACAGATCTTTTCCTGGCCTTTGTGACCTTTGCAGTGGCCAGCAGCTGACCGGTCAGCTGGATAGGTGCTCACAGTTATGGGAAATAGTCAACTCATAGTTTGAAAATCCACTTTCTGAGAAGCCTACCTCCTTGAGGTCTTCATGTGCTACCTGGGGCCCCATAGAGAGGTTCTTTCCAAGTTCAGGGTCCTGGTGTGAGAGGAGTGTGGCTTCTGGGGAATCGTCATTTTACTGGCCTGCCCTTTCTGTCAGGAGAGGAATTCAGAGATTTGGGGGTTTTAGGTTTCTAAGACCTTTTTAGGAGAGCTAAAACATGGAGTATGGAGATTTGATGGTGTTTTTAGATAGGAAGTGTCATTGGATCTGTCACACCCCACAGGCCTTTGCTAAAGGTTCTCTCTTCTTCCCTAGGGACATCCTGAGTGAAGACGAAAATGACAAGAAGCAGAATACCCAGTCCTCGGACGAATCCTTTGAGCCTTACCCAGAAAAGAAGTAAGGGGGGGCAGTCTTGTTGCACGTCCCTGGGGTCTGGGAGTGGCATCACTGGGTAACCTGGAAACCTATGTCTGGCTGGTAGGGTCACTGGGTGGGAGTAGTGGGGACAGGGAATGAAGGCTTCTACTTCCCAGTCTGCCCTTGCTTAGCACGTTTGTCTCCTGCTGCTCTTTGGCCTGACCACACAGTGCAGTGTGGCTTCTGAGTGAGCTGGGACCTGGTCTCCGTGTCTTGTGAGAGTGGCAGGGCCTGTGGATGTAACTCAGCCTCATTCTGGGAGCTCCCTGCCTTCCCTTCCGCCAGCCCTGCCCTCGGTCATACCACAGTAGTGTCTGCCGTGTCAGCCTCTGATTTCCTGCAGGAACCTCTACCCTACACTTCTTTCTGCTTCTGGCCAAGGTCCTTGGAGGCTCAGGGACCCAGCCCTGCAGTTGCTCTCAGATCTGCCTCTGGCACTGATTTCTACATCACTTCCTTGTTAGAGTTGCCTCTGTGGCCTTGTCTCAACCTTCCCTTTTCAGGGGTTTGTGTTTTCTCTCAGGATATAGGATCCTGGCAGGGAAGGCTAATGTGTACTAGTGTCACTTTCCTCCCAACCTTGTGCCCAGGCACACCCAGAATGCCTGTAGTTAGTCGCTGCCCCACTTGGCTATTACTGAGCGTTTCGCGGTAGAATGGAAACACAGGAGCACCACACCGTCAGCCAAGAAAACACAGCACAAAGATTAAAAAGCAAACCTGACTTACTTTTTTCCTTTGAGTTCTGACATGGCTATGGAAAGAGAAACAGAAGCCATGCCCTGCAGGAGGTAGGACCAGGTGGCAGTGGGCTGGCCACAGCTCTGGGTTCACCTTTGTGCCCACAGAGACACTCAGACCTTGTGGCCACATGGCTCCTCGGGTGCTACAATGTGAATCACAACTGGAAACCTAGACAGGGCCTCTGAGCAGCCCTGGTCCGTGTGACTTTTAGCAGACATGCCTGTCTGGGTCCTCAGCTGGGGACTGAGCCACCCAGGTGCCCCCCATTTTATCATTTTTAAATGTACAGTTAATTCGGTGGCCATTAAGTACATTCATAGTGCTGTACAACCATCACCACTATTTCTAAACTTTTCATCGTCCCAAGTAGAAACTCTCTACCCATTAAGTAATGACTTCCCTCTTCCCCCTCTCCCAGGCTCTGGCAGCCGCCAATCTGGTTACATCAGGGCACTTCACAGAAGTGGAAATATGTGTTTGTCCTTTTTGATAGGGTTCCTTCACTTTACATAATGTTTTTTAGATTCATTCGTGTTGTAACATGCATCAGAACTTTGTTCATTTCTATGCCTGAATGTATTCTGTTGTATGGATAGACCACAGTTTATTGATCCATTCTTCTGTCATTTTGGGTTGTTTCTACCTTTTGGCTATTGTGAATAATGTTATGAATACTGGCCTACAGGTATCTGTTTGAGGGGCGCCTGGGGGCTCAGTCGGTTAGGCATCCAGCTCTTGATCTCAGCTCAGGTCTTGATCTCAGGGTCGGGAGTTTAAGGCCTGCATTGTGGAGCCTCCTTAAAAAGAAAAAAGAAAAGTATCTGTTTGAGTCCCTGTTTCAGTTCTTTGGTGTACCCAGAAGTAGAATTGTTGGGTCATATGGTAGTTCTATGTTTATTTAACTTTTTGAGGAACTGCCTTATAGTTTTCCATAGCAGCTGTACCATTTTACATTCCCATCAACAACGTACAAGGGTTCCATTTTCTCCAAATCCTTGTCAACATTGTTAATTTTCCATGTTTTTCGTTTTGACATTTGTTTTTGTGGGGTTTTTTGTTTTGTTTTTGTTTGAGAGAGAGAGAAAGAGCTGAGGGGGGTTACAGAAGGATGCCCAGCGCAGAGCTCTACGTGGGGCTGGATCTCACAACCCTGAGATCATGACCTGAGCCAGAATCGAGAGTCAGATACTTAACAACAGGCTGGGCCTCCCAGGCACCCCATTATTTTGTTTATTTTTAAAGTGAAGTAGAGTAGACATGCAGTGTTAGTATCAGGCACACAACGTAGTCACTACCCAGTAGTTCTGTACATTGTGCTGTACTCATCACTGGTAGCTGCCCACCTGTCATCCTGTAGCTCTGTTAACGGTACATTGACTATATTCTCTACGCTTTACCTTCATCCCTCATCCCTTAAGTGGAATGAATGCCCCCCACCCCACAAGCATCAGTTCTCTCTTGATGGCTCTGTTTCTGCTTTTGTTGGTTTGATTTTTATTCCACACGTAGGTAAAATACAGGGTATTTCTCTTTCCCTGATTTAATTCACTTGGCATAATGCCCCTGGGTCCATCTGTGTTGTCGCAAATGGCAAGAACTCACTCTTCCTTGTGGCTGACTGATGTTCGGTTATATATATACCACATCCTTCTTGTCCATTCATCTTGGAAACTTTGGGTTGCTTCCATGTCTTGGCTACTGTAAATAGTGCTGCCATAAACATGGGGCACCCGTATCTTTTTGGATTAGTGTTTTCTTTTTGTTTGGGTAAATACCCAGTAGTGGAAATACTGGATCATATTCTATTCTATTATTTTATTTATTTATTTATAAATAAATAGAGAGACCCAGCGAGAGAGGGAACACAAGCAGGGGGAGAGGGAGAGGGAGAAGCAGGCTTCCCGCGGAGCAGGGAGCCCGATGCAGGGCTCGATCCCAGGACCCTGAGATCGTGACCTGGGCCGAAGGCAGACGCTTAACAACTGAGCCACCCAGGCGCCCCTCATATTCTATTTCTATTTTTTATTTTTTAATTGTAATTCCAGTACAGTTAACATACAATGTTCTCTTAGTTTCATGTGTACATATTTTTAATTTTCTGTGGAACATCCATACTGCGTTCCACAGTGGCCATTTTCTTTTTTCTAATTTTTAGTATGGTTAACAGTGTTATATTAGTTTTAGGCATATAATAGAGTGATTCAAACCTGTTTTCCTTTTTAGTATTCATCCTCTTGGGTGTAAAGTAGTATCCCATTGTCATTTTGGTTTGCATTTCCTAAGTGATTAGTGATGATGGAGCATCTTTTAACATGCTTATATTTTTTTGAGAAATGTCTATTTAAGTCCTTTGCCCTTTTTTTTTTTCAGATTTTAAATCATTCTTTTTATTTATTTTTGGCCATTTTTAAATTAACTTGTTTTGTCTTTATGCTATTGAGTTGTAGGGTACATTTTCTCCCATTCAGTGGATTATCTTTTTCATTCCCTTGATACTTTCCTTTGGTGCACGGAAGTTTTTAAATTTTTTTTTTTTTTAAGATTTTATTTGACAGAGAGAGACACAGCAAGAGAGGGAACACAAGCAGGGGGAGGGGGAGAGGGAGAAGCGGGCTCGTGGGGCTTGATCCCAGGACCATGACCTGAGCCGAAGGCAGACACTTAACGACTGAGCCACGCAGGTGCCCCTGAAGTTTTTAATTTTAATTTTGAAGCCCATTTTACCTGTTTTTACTTTTGTTGCTTTGCCTTTTTTTTTTTTTTTTTTTTTTTTTAATAATCCCTGTGCCCAACGTGGGCTCAAACTACAACCCTGAGATCAAGAGTCGCATGCTTTGCTGACTGAGGCAGCCAGGAGCCCCGTGTTGCTTTGCCTTTGATGTCATGTTCAAGAAACTGTTGCCAAATCCAAGGTCATGTTTTCATCCAAGAATTTGATAGGTTAAGCTCCTAGGTCTTTGATTTGAGTTAATGTTTGTATATGGAATAACGTAGGGATCCACATTCATTCTTTGGCACATGGACATCCAGCTTTCCCAGCACCTTTTGTTGAAGAGACTGTCCTTTCTCCATTGAGTGGTCTTGCCACCCTTGTCAAAAAATCAGTTGATGGTTCTTGTGAGGGGTTTATTTTTGGCCTTTCAGTTCTCTTCACTTAGTCTGTATGTCTGTTTTTCTACTAGCACCACAGTGTTTTGATTATTGTAGTTTTATAACAAATTTTGGAATCAGACGTGTGAGTCCTCCAGCTTTGTTTTTCAGACTTATTTAGCTATTCAGTATCCCTTGAAATTCCGTGTTAAACTTAGGATTGCTTTTTCCGTTTCTGCCAAAAACACCACTGAGATTTTGATAGGGTTTGTCGATTGCTTTGGGAGAAGTATTGCCATCTTAATATTAATCCTGCAACCCATAAACATGGGATGTTTTCCCACTTATTTAGGTGTTTTTAAATTTAGTGTTAATAGTCTTCAGTGTATAAGTCTTTCATCTTCTTGGTTAACTTTATTCGTGAGTATTTTATTATTTTTGATGCTATTACAAATGAATTTTTTTTTATACTTTCTTTTTGCATCGTTCGTTGTTATAACGTGTAGAAGTAGAACTGCCTTTTGTGTGTTGATTATGTACCCTGCAACTTTGCTGAATTTATTTTTGTGTGTGTGGATTCTTCAGGGTTTTCTACATATGAGATCATGTTATTTGTGCATATAGGTAATTTTCTTTCTAACTTAGATCCCTTTTCTTTTTCTTGCCTAATTGCCGTGGCTAGAACTTTTGATACTGTGTTGAATAGCAGTGGTGAAAATGGGCATCTTTTTGTCTTGTTCCTGACCTTCGGGGAAAACTTTCAGCTTTTCACCATTGAGGATGATGTTAGGTACAGGCTTGTCATATAATGCCCTAAAAAGTTCCCTTCTGTTTTTGGCAGTTTTCCTTAAATGTCTGGCTCTGAAAAGGGGGGAAAAAAGTGTACATTTCTCTTTATATTGTACTTTTTTAAAGATTTTGAGAGAGCACGAGCAGGGGGAGGGGGAGAGGGAGAGGGAGAAGCAGGCCCCCCGCTGAGGGTGGAGCCCAGTGCGGGGATCGATCCCAGGACCTGGGATCATGACCTAAGTCGAAGGCAGACACTTCACCAGCTGAGCCACCCAGGTTGCCCCATGTCTCTTTAAAAATCTTCACTAAACACCACAGGGGGAGGTTGGTGCATCTGAACTGGTCCTTCAGGACCCGTCAGACTAAATAAAAGGTCCCCACTGCCCACCCTGGCCCCAGCAGCAGGACTAAGGAGCAGGGATGGCAGCTGGTGGAACAACATCGCTCTCTCCCAGGAACACACGTCTCCCTTTGAGCCCCCGCCTTGTTGCTGTGCACCTCCCATCAGGTTCCAAAATTGTTGATTCTGATCTTTTCTAGCCTACGGGTTGTTTTGATGGAAGGACTGACCCCTAAAGCTTCCCCACTCCACCATTTAACATGATGTCTCCAAATAATAATTTTTGGTTTTGGTGTTGAGGGAGTGAAGTTTCAGTCCTGAAAACCCACTCTGTAGCCCTGCACCTTGCCTTCCCGGGGTGGTAGTACAGAGCCTCTGCCTTTCCTATGGGGTCTAGCTCTGATGGCTAAGGTCAGTTTGAAGCCAGCCAGTGAGCACTGAGACTCAGGTTGCCATGGAAGCCTGAGGAAAACCCCACCTCTCCTGTTTGAGGAGAGAGAAGCATGAAGAAAAGTGAGAAACATATGCAACAGAGATCAGAAACAGCACTGAGTCTGATTACATCTCTTCCTCACCCCACCATCTTTTTTTTTTTTTACCTTTTTTTTTTTGCCCTCACAGGGTGTCTGGTAAAAAGAGTGAAAGCAAAGAAGCCAAGAAGTCTGAAGAACCAAAAATCCGAAAGAAGCCTGGACCGAAGCCGGGCTGGAAGAACAAGCTCCGCTGTGAGAGGTGAGGCCTGGGTAGAGGGCTGGCTCGCCCGTCGGGGCAGCAGCTCCATGTGTGCTCTGCATTGCAGGGAGGAGCTACCCACCATCTACAAGTGCCCTTACCAGGGCTGCACGGCTGTGTACCGAGGGGCCGATGGCATGAAGGTGAGAAGGGGCACCGCCCTGGCGCCAGGGGCTGCCTGCTGTGTGTGGCCAACCAGGAGGACCAGATGTTTCTGGAGAGCCGCGTGTAGACTTGTCCCCAGGGGCTCGTGTAAGCCTGGGTGAATGGAGAATTGAGCAGCCATGGGCCAAGAAGTGAGCCCTCCACTCCTGGGAGAAGCACCCACTTCTTGTTGAGTGAGGAATGGTTGGGTCTCTTCCTTTGAGAGTGCCGTGTAGGACCCGTGGGAGGCATGTGCTGTGTGATCGGGGGAAACGTCCTGGCCAAGGCACTCATGGTCTTGCCGTCTGTCCCGCAGAAGCACATAAAGGAGCACCATGAGGAGGTCCGGGAGAGGCCCTGCCCCCACCCTGGCTGCAACAAGGTGTTCATGATCGATCGCTATCTGCAGCGTCACGTGAAGCTCATCCACACAGGTACATGCCCTGTTCTCCCACAGTCCCACATATACAGTCCCCTTGGGTGGCTGATGGGGGCTGGACACCCTTCATAGAGGCCTGGGGCTGTGTTTTGGTGCCTTGCAGGTCGTTAGTATGGGCTGTGGAACTGACGATGAAGAAATCCCAGTGCCTTTCTGCAGGTTTATTGTGGTGGTTTTATCATTACTTTTAAAAAATAACATTATATGCTTTTCGATTATAAAAGTAACCCATGCTCATTGTAGAAATTGTAAAAAGCAAGCACAGAGAAGACAGGAAGCACCCCCATGCACAAGCATCATCCGCACTTGAGGGTTTCCTCTTCCTGTTGGTTCTCATGTTGCGTCTCTGTGCCTACTTCCGTGTGTTCTTGGGGGTAGTGGCCTGACGAAGTCCTGGAGGGCCCGGCGCTTCAGGGAGTGTCTCCAGTGTGTGGGGTGTGCCCTGCTCGTGTCCTGGACACTTTAGCCTTCAGGCCACTCATCTGTAGAGGCTCTCTCTGCCTGTTGTGGGCCGCGTTTGGTCTGAATATGGTGCATTTCAACCAGCTATGCTCTGGTCTGTTCGTGAGCGAGACCTGTCGCCACGGACTCCGCAACTCCGGGGCTGGGGAACGTGGTGTGAGCAGGGCTTTGGGCCGGTCTTCTGGGAGAAGGGCCCTGCTGGGCTGGGACTGAGGCCAGAGGGGACGGGAAGGGGGGGTTCCACGGGCGTGAGGGAGCGGTGTGGTCTGTGTTCTGCTGGCTCCCAAGTTGGCCCTGTGTTTATGCTGAGGGGCGGGGGAGGTAAAGGGAACCTGCTGTTCCTTGTTCTTAGAGGGGTCTCTCTGGGACGCCCTCTGAGATGAGCAAATGACCTCCACCCCCCGCCCCCACCCGGCCCCCGTGTGCCCCGGACACAGATACTCGCGTATGTCCACGGGCTGTTTGCTTGCCTTCTCCCCAAGAGCAGCACCGTGCCCTCTGGGCTGTGCCCCTGAGACAAGCCCGCTGACCGTTACAACTCCAGGCTTGAAGCCCCCATGGCTGCAAGGACTCGGGGACGCTCAGCCCCTCAGCCCCCCTGGCTTTCCAAGCCAGCTGCTGTGGGAATCCCTTTTCCCTGTGAGCTTAGTCAGTCTCTTGCTCTTCTCCACAAAAGTGACTCCCTCCTTCTCTCTACCTTTACTTGTGGAGTTCGTTCTGCCAGTCTTCAGGTCGGTTTCTGGGGCATTTGGGATGATGTGGTAATTACCTAAGTAGTGTCTGTGGAACGAGGTGAGCCTAGGGCCCTCTTCCTCTCCCCATCCATTCTCTGCGTACGTATTTCAACCCCCGGCTCGTGTGCATTCCTCACAATTTTGATTCCCCTCTAATTTTAACGACACGATCCCTCCCACCCGCGTTAGAAGCACAAGAACTGCACGTGTACTGACGCCCGTACCCGCTGCTTCTCTCCACAGAGCTGCTCTCCTGAACTGGTGTCACCCCCTTTAAAAGACCAGTGGAGTGCATCTCTGTTTATCCCTGAACGGGAATTGTGCTTGTTTTTGTTAAAATACCTTACTATAGAAAGTTATTTACTTTTTTTACCCAGATTTGTCCGTTTTATTGTTGGACAGATTTATTGGTTGGTTTCACTGTGAAACCATTTATTTTCCTGTGTGTTTTGTTCTGAGCCTTCTTGGACATCTCCTGACACAAACAATTCCCTTAAATTGGGTCTTCAAGCTGTGTCTCAACTCAGACGCCAATGGTCATAACCAGTAGCAAGTTTTTTTTTAGGACACCAAAGAGGATAGACTGTAAACTATAAGGGTGCATTGTACCTAGTAGGGGAGAAAGCCAGTCTGTGTGGGCGTTCGTAGTTGAGCAGGTGGGATGGCAGGGAGGAAGAAGCTCCTGGCCACCACCCCAAGCCCAGGTCCAGGAGTAGAACTGACTGTTCAGTTTTTGTTCAAGAGTGTAAGAAATTTATTTGCCAAGTGGCAGTAGTGATCTATGGAGCTTTATTGATGTGGCTTCCTCCAAGAATTTTTACTCAAATAAATAGATGTAAAGTTTCTCTTTAAGAAAACAGGCTTCAAATGTACATAGTTGATGAAGTCCCAGCCAGGTGGCATTTTTAAGCAATTTGGAGCACTCTGTTAACAAAAAGTTTTGTATTAGAAATGTTTTCCATCTCTGAATAAAATTGGGTTTGCACAGGCCCCTTGCTTGGGCCCTGAGTGTGAGGAAACACCACCTGAGGCCCCCGTGCTCTGTGGGAGGGCTGGGCATTTCTCCTGTGCTTACTGCATCTCTGGTCCACAGAGGTGCGGAACTATATCTGTGATGAGTGTGGACAGACCTTCAAGCAACGGAAGCACCTTCTCGTCCACCAGATGCGCCACTCGGGAGCCAAGCCTCTGCAGTAAGTGTGGGGATGGGCACCTTCTCATGGCCACACTGGCCCCCATGCCCTTGCTCACCTGACCCTGTCCCCCAGGTGTGAAGTCTGTGGCTTCCAGTGCCGGCAGAGAGCATCCCTCAAGTACCACATGACTAAACACAAGGCTGAGACTGAGCTGGACTTTGCCTGTGACCAGTGTGGCCGGCGGTTCGAGAAGGCCCACAACCTCAATGTGCACATGTCCATGGTCCACCCTCTGACGCAGACCCAGGACAAGGCCCTGCCCCTGGAGCCACCACCCGGGACTGTTGAGGGCCAGGCCGTGAAGCCCGAGCCTACCTGAACTCCCGTGGTAAATGGGGTTAAGACAGTTTCAGTAGTTCCTCATACGTAACCTGACAGCACAGCTTTGCTCGCTTGCTCCCCTGGAGCCCCCATGCTGTACCCCCCCAACCTGTGTGTCAGGAGGGCACTGATCTGCAGTATGGTGAACATGGGCTCAGTGTGCAACTCACATAGCCTTTACAGCCTCCACTCTGGGACCAGCATTTTCCTACAAAAACTGAATGACTCGGGGCCAGATGGATTTTAAATAATTGATTCCTATTCCCCACTAAAGCAATCAAGGAGATTTGTAATCCACTTTTTAGTGCAAGAGCTCCATGTTATGCTTGTAATAAATTATTTACCAAGGAGCTGGGCTGTGCACTGCGCAGGGTCCAGTCAGAAGAGATGGGGCTCCCGGTAGAGGTCAGCATCGGGCAGCACCTGCTGTCTGCTCCGGAGGGCGGCACTCACTTCCGGGTCACAGTGTCCACTGGTAGCCAGCAGCTGCAGGAAAACAGCTGTGCTCAGCCCAGTGCAGCCCCCAGACACCAGGGCCTGAGGACGGGGAGCTGGCGACCGGAGCCTAGCAGGTAAGTGGCCACAGTGCAAGTGTCGGACACCGGATTCTCGTTTTACTTGAGGTGTTGCAACTTCAACACTCTTAACGTGTCCGCACACGCCAAAGCAAGCATCTGGGTGTTACCTCTGCCATGTTCAAGAAGCTCTTTTTTGGGCACCTAGGTATCAACTGCAGCAGAAAATGACGAGCTTTTGTTATCAAGCCTACAGGGTCACCCTAGAGAGAGGACAGGCAGAGACAGAGGTCAGGGTGTATACCATGAGGGTCACGACGCCCCCACCTGCTCACTCTGCCGGGAGAGCTGGCTGCACGGGTCTGTGAGCTGTGTCACCTGCCTGGCCCTGGAGCACCTGGCTCCTGCCGGCTAGAGCCGAGACCACACTTGTCTCCCCAGCCACGAAGAGACAGATCAGCTTTAGGTACATGTCAACAGCAACATGCAGGAAGGCATCTTCCCTCAGGACGGCGTCATCATCAAAATAGGAGAGAAGGCTGAAAGTAAGAAAGATGCCTCGTGACTCCAAGATCGAACAGAGGTGAGTGGCCGTCAGCACTGAACAGCGACTCATCTGAGGAGTGAAGTTCCAGGCATCCTTCCCGTTTGGAGGGCGATCCACAGTGATACTGACAGAGGACTGGGCTGGGGTGACCCCTCCTCTGACCACACACAACCCCCCGGGGGAGCAACTCCGCTGAGAGAGCGTCATGACACTGACCAGAGCAACAGGTGCAGTTACCTGTAGAAGGCAAACGGCAGCAGCCTGATGTATGGATCTGGGGCCAGGCGGAGGAGAACATGCCCCAGGCCACCCTCTGCAACCAAAGGGGGTTAGGCTTAGCTCTGTGGCCACCTCCCCACCCCAAGATGAGCACGTTCAGGAGACCTCAGGTGCCTGGCTGGGAGGGGTGGTGGTGTCCTCATGCTGGAGGGCAGAGCCTGGGGGGTAGATCCCCCCCCCATGATGGCCCAGCGCCACCCCGGGTCCCCCAGTACTCCACTCAACTCCTTCGTTGTTTAGATGAGTTCGTACTGCATTTAGCCTAAAATACGGTTTATATACTTAGCAGGAAGACAGACGTGGAAAAATGAGTCAGTAAATTAAGGCCCAGGGGTTCATACTTAACCATTGGAAAGTTATTTTTGAAGAAGGACTAAATAAACAGTGGGGATCGCAGCCTGCCCTTGCGGGTCACCTGTGTTCCAGTAGACGGCTGCTAACCGCACAGACACAGGCTGTGCCCTGCTACCAAGTCTCAGTGCTGTCTCACCTGTCTCTGTCAACTGAAAGACCACCAGCCAGGACACCTTCTTCTTCTCCAAACACCCCAGGATCTCCGCACATATGTCCAAAGCCTTCAGGGAGTCCACAGCCTGTGGCCACAGAAGAGGGAGGCTGACTGCACAGACAGGCACACAGCGGGGAGAGGGGTGACCTCCAGCCCAGAAGGGAGCCTTTGCTCATTCTGTTGAGTCTTGAATGGTGACTGTAGGAGGAACAGGTCAGGGATCCCTGTGCCCAGGTTCTGAAATGAAGACCTCGAAGGAGAGGCCCAGGGCCAAGGGGTTCTTGCTTCAGCAAGCACAAGACTCCCGAGGAGCCCTTCAATACAAAGGTTCCAAGGCCCTCCTCCCAGAAACCCTGAGTAGGGAGGTCTGGGAGGTGGCAAAGGGTCACCTTACCTGATGTCTTAAGTGTGGGGTCAGATGTGATGAAAGCAGACCCATTAAGGAAAAGAAAAAGAGGACAACCAGCAGCTGCAAGTAAGACCAGTGCCTTTAGAACATTAAAACCACCCAGGCTATACCCTCAAAAAGTAATTCTAAGTAAGGAATGCAGACACTGTTCTTTGACCAAACATGTATAGGCAGAGGACATCAATCTTTCCTCTAAGTGGATCTTCTCAGGAAAGAAAAGTTTTAAAGAGGTAATTTGAGAATAAATTCGTACAGACTGCATCATTTTATATGTGCCTTGAAACACAGCTGGGAAAAGCGACCACAGGGAAGAACTGTGCTGTGGCTGAGGGTGTCCATGGTGTGCGAGTTGCCAGTACCTCAGTCTGGTGCAGCGAGCCACCCCTGGCCCAGCCCCACTCCTGGGCTCCTTGTCTAGAAGGGTGTTTGTAAAATCTCTAGAGGTAAATGCACAGGCCCCCTCCTGACCCGAGGCAGGGGTCCCACCTCTTCCCAACCCCCTGGAGTGGACCCAGGTTGGCTGGGGTGTCTGGACACCTCTCCTCAGCACACACAGGCCTAGGAGGCTTGAGGCCACTGAAATCACTTTGAACAAAAATAAACCTAAAAGAATCTCCCCTGTGGGGTTTTTTTTTTTTTTTTTTACATTACGTTACCAAAAAGCTCAGGCAGGACTGTATGTCCTGAGCTGACAGGTTGACTTTTCAGTTTATAAATGGTTTAGCTGGGGGAGAGATGAGGGAGCGAAGGCTGTAGGAACAGGGACAAAGCAGGTCCCATGGGGCAGCTGATGACAGCCCTGCCTTGGGTTTAGGGAGGATAAAAATAAGCTAAGCAAAATCAAAAGTGAAACACATAAGATATTCCACCAGTAAACTTGAGAGTGAAATACTATAAAATCTATAAGCCTGACAAATTCTACTTCCTAATAAAGTCACAAGAATGCCATACTTCCTGTCTGTTCTTGGAAAAGCACAGTTCATTAGGTGAACCCTGAGAAACTCAGCTGATCGGAACACTGATTAAAAACAAACTTGGTAGAAAAGAAAGAAGTGAAAGAATTTCGTTTCTTGCCTCCTCTCTCTGGCAGTCCAGCTTCTCTAGCTGGCTCTTGATGCTGTTCTTCCCGGCTTGCTGGATTGCGAAGTGGAGTGAAGCAGCAGAGACCCAGGCCGGGCCCGGTGGGGGGGACGCCGAGTCAGGAGAGAGGCAGCTAGGAGACAGAGAGGCGTCACCACAGGAGCCTCATGACCACATCCTGGTGGAAAGCCACCAGCCCTGCCCACCTTCAGCTGGGGCAGCGAGGGCCTCTAGAGTCCACAGAAACAAGGTCTGCGTCCCTAACCACCCCTGGCCCGGCACAGGGACCTAGAGCCCGGTGTCAGCCTCCTTCCCGGTTTAGGGTCCAGTCTCCAGTTTCCCTAACATGCTTCTGTGCCATGGATGTGAGGAGCAGGTAGGGCCTGACCGGGACACCTGGTCCCGACTGCCCGAGCTTTGCAAGGAGGTCGTGGGACACGGGACTCTCACCTGGAGCCCACCACTCAGACCCTTGGCTTCTGGGTCCAGTCCTCCTCAGTCCCTGCTGTGACCGCAGTGTGGTGCTCAGGTGTCCCAGCAGGTTAAAAACAGGCCAAAAACCAGTGGAATATAATGTAGCAGTTGGCATTCCTTGTTTTCTGGGATTTTGAGCACTCCAGACACTGTAGCCGTGCACAGGGATAAAAGGAGGCCAGATGGGGGGGCCACAGCTCTCCCCCAAACCAGCACGTGCCGGAGACGGCCAGTTGGGCAGGCCAGGACCTGGCTCTCACACACATCTGCGTGATGCTGGCACTGCCAGGCCTGGGCCCAGAAGAGGGGCAGGTGGGGCGGAAAGCTGGGCAGGGACCCGCCAGGTCAGGTCTGTCCCTTCCCTTCCATGTGGGTCCTGCCCAGCCTGCCCTAAGGCCTCTGTCCGCCATCCCCAAGGTACTCATGGAGGTGGAACCTAGAGCAGGTCCTAAAGAACATCTGTGCTTCCTCCCCTTGTTGCACGCACCTCCTGCCAAACTGCTGGGCCTCCCACAGCCTCTGCAGCTCTTGGGGCAGTGGGCCCTGGAAACATCTCGTCCACCGGCTGCGAAGTTCAGGCTCCAGGCGTGGCCACCACAACTTCCAGAAGAGAAAGATCACCAGTAAGCAGATCAGGGGAGGCTATACTTGGACCCTCTTCGGTCCCTATAGCCAAGATGTGGAACCCTGGAGTGACCACTGGAGATGTGCTGACACCGGCAGCACGGCTCCTGTTCACCCAGCGCGTCCTACTGAAGTAGTGTGTCATGTACTCGGTTTCAGGTTCAAGGCAGTTCCGTGAGCTATCTCCTCCTCCTCTGTAGAGGACACAGACGTCCCCACTGAGAGCTGGTGTTTTACACACATAGTAACTCCTGCGCTGAATTCCACCCACATGAGCCACAGACTACATGCAAAGCCGAACACTCGGGGGGGTGCGTGGCAGCTCAAGTCCTACGGCTGCCGGGAGAGCTGCGTGTCGTCAGGACGCCAGAAAAGCCAGCGAAGGCCCCCCAGGGAAACCCCCACCCACGTGAGGGCCGGGCGGCAGGGGACTGGGCCGCCTCTCTTCCAGTCCCGAGATGGTTGTCTGTCAAGACAACAGGCGGAGCCCAAGGCGGGGCGCTCAGGCAATTAGGGTTCACCTTCAGCCAACGCAGAACCAGAGTGAAGCAACACCCAGACACTGCTGTCCAGCAGGCGTGGGCAGGGAAGCCCGTCATCCTCCCTGCTGATGGCTTCGCTCTACCCCCCACTTCTCCGCATGTATTTTCTCCTCAATGACAAGAACCAGGATGCTGCCCTGGGCCCCCAGTCCCTGTGCCAGCCCCGGGCGCACCCCAAGAAGGCGGCTGCACCTACCAGAGCAGAGGTCAGAACTATGGGGCACTCAGTCTGGCACGCGGTCAGGATCAGGTCTGCGGTCCGGGAGGGGTTTCTGCTTTGTGAACAGGCGCTGAGGAGCCCCTGCAGGAGAGGACATGCCAGAAGCTCAGTGGTTTGCATGTGTACCCCGCTCCTAAAAGGCACCAGGGCTTCAAAGCACCACTGGCTATGAAGGTCCGGCCAGGTGGTGGGAGGTGCTGGGGGCAACAGAATTACCCTGAAGAAGTGGACGGTGATGTCATGGGTCAGAGCACTTCCATGGGAGCAGAAGTTTCTCTGCAAAAGAGCACAGGCCAGTGAGAAAGGAACCAGTGGGGCAGGGGTGGGAGCGGAGGCAGTGTGTGCTGACAGGGTTTAGCTGTGCTCATGGTGCCACTGCTGACCACGGAGGTCCGGCTTCACGTCCCCCCGCATGGCTGGCCCAGGATCTGGCGTCTCACTGCCAGATCCGTGCGGCTCCTCTGTGCAGAGAGATCCCCCAGCCTGCCCGCTGCAGCCCCGACACAGGGCAGGAGGCCGGCACGCACTCCCTGATGGCCCCGTTGCTGGGATGGCAACCGGCGTCCCCAGCTCTGGGTTCTCTGTTCTGCCCGCCTTCACGGGCCCTTCTGACAACGTTAAGGAAAACAGCCTTTGCTAAGAACCCAAGGAACATGTAGTCTCATCTCTCCTGCTTTCTGAGTCACCGTTTAAAGTCCTGTGTCACTGAATGGAACCTTAGTTCAATCTCTAGTTGTATTTGTGCATTTTTTTTAAAAACTGGAAAAACATCTTCAGGAGTAGAAGCTCTTCTGAAGTGTGTAGGACGTGCTTATTCCTGGTGCCCTCACTGACCCTGACTGGATGCATGCAGGCTTTGGTCTTTCTGGGTAAGATGATGGAGCACCTGACGACAGTGTGTACAACAGAAGGAAGCAGGGCCGACCGGTGGGAATGGCAGTCTTGTCAGCACCACCAGCTTCTGTGTGACTGAAACGTCAAAACTGGCAAGAACTGGAGATGCCTGGTCTGCAAGACTTTATGGATCCTGACGGCTGAACGTCGAGGAAAGCTCTAGAAGGGGACTGAAGCTTTGGAGGAAGGGAGCCACAGCTGGTCTCTGCACCTCGCCGGCCCCGGTTCCAGCTGGGGGAGGAGGGCTGGGCACACAGCAGCCCCAACTCTCGGCTCCCGGAGCGGTACCCCCATTCTTTCCTTCAGCAATCCCACATGGTCTGCACACACACTGAAGCAGTTGGCTCAGTGACCACAGTCACACTTGCGAATCTTCAAGAACCAGATCACCCCCATCCCTGCATCCCGAGGTTGCTTGCCCACACCTACCAGCTCAGAGTTGACCAAGTGGAAGAACTCCGTGCAGTCAGGGGCGGCTGGCTCTTTGGCCTGGGGGCTGCCGACGAGAACAGACGGGGGCAGACCGAGGAGGATCCTTGCACAGAAAGAGCTGCGTCAGTGGTGGCGGCACAGCCTCATGACTTGAGGGCGCAGACTCACGTCAGTAGTGACCCTCCCTACTCACTCTGGCAAGAGTCCCCACCCGGGGCTGTGTGCTGAGCACCTGTGTCCTGCAGCACTGCCAATGTCTTAACCCCAAGAGCCGTTCTTAAGCGGCACAATCATCAAGTAAAAGGGTGCACCCCAGTCTAACAGCCACTCTCGAGAACTGGGGCATTTCACCATCTCACACTCAGAAACACGGCTGCAATGAGCATCTGTAAGCACACATGGTTTTCCTTATCTCGACATGCATTTTCAGGGCTACGTCTTTCAACAGGGCAGCTCGTGGGTCTGAAGGGGCGGCTTTAATCTGAAGCTTCAGACCCTGCTCTCTCCATGGGAACCCCAAGGAGGAGATGGGGACAGAAACAAATGACCAACGGAAAAGAAAACTCAATGTAAAGACAGACTCCTCTCTACGGTGCCGCGCTACCGTTTGTATACAAGCAGCTCCCGCTGTCTCTGAAGGCGGGCAGCCACATCCCATCCGCTTGCCAGAGCCTGGAGCCGTGTGCGGAACACTCCGAAAGGGAAGCGCTCCCGAGGAGAGCAACTCTGGGATGCTGTTGGGCCCTGTTCCAGGTCAGCAGCCATCTCCTGGAAAAAAACAAGACCAGAATGTTCACATACTTTTATCGCTGGTTCCACGTGATTGTCCTCAAATGTGAAGGCAGAAAGTTCTCAGGGCTTACTGTCAGCCCCAATTAGGACTCTGAAAGGGGGCTGGGTGGGCTTGGGAGAGAGGTCTCCCAAAAGGAGCTAGGAATGAGTGGGACAAGCGTTTTTACTTGGAAATCACTGAAAATTTGCAAAAGTAGAATAAGAATGGTACAATGAACACCTTTACCAGATTCCCCTATGACTAACATTTTATCATTTATCATTTGCTTTTCTACTCTGCATATACAGGTGTTGCGTGCACATAACTGGAGGGTGACTTGTGGACATAAGGCGTGTACACAGCAGGCACTCAATAAAGTGCCTGCTGACTGAAAGCATCCACGTGTGTGCAGAGTCGGCACACGTTCAAAAGCAGAGACAGAACAAGCCAAAGCACCCGCGTCGCAGCACCATCCCTGCCGCGTGTGACCCAAGGCCCATGACGCACTCTGCCTGCCACAGCCAGTTAGGACGGACGCAGAGGACGAAAGGTCAACAGGAGGGCTCGGAGGGCTGGGATCTCTTCTTTGTGGGATTAGTTTCATTCCCTCGTAGGTAAGATTTCCCAGGGTCCCAGGCCACCCCCTCCGTGGTTTGTCACTCCCCCCAGCTTCTCAAGCACTTGACGGCGTGACCACCACCAGGAAGCGTGAAATCCACACAAAGAATCCCGTCAACACGGAGCCACACGTGTACCTCCAAAGGTAGATTCCCTGTGCACACTGTGGGCACGGAGACCAGAGAGGGTCTGCACTTGGACCCCAGAGCCTACTCTCAGGGTCTTTCTATCGCCCAGACAAGACCTGAGGCTAACAGGCACTCTCACTGAAAACTGTACCCTTTACTTCAAAACGAGAGCCCCATTTCCACGCCCTCCTGAGTGCAACTGCTTTGCTGAAAAGAACCCACCAGCCTGTGGAGGTGCCAGGCGACCCGTGAAAGAGCAGCCTCTCAGGCTCCTTTGCCAAGTGGAGCCTTATCTATGTCATTTCTCTGAGCCTGACATCCAAATGAGCAGTCAAGAGCTAAAAAGCAGCAAGTGGTGGATATAGCAACCCTTTTACCACCAAAGTTGGCGTCTTCTTTCAAATTTTAAATGATCCTAAGATGGTTCTGCCACCACAGCTTTTGTTTCCGTACTTCTGGGTATTCCCTTAAGTGAGCACACTGTCGCTCCGGGTCTGGTCCGTTATATGTGGGATGTTAGTTTTCATGCTGCCTTAAGACATCCATAGTAAATATCATCAGAGCAGACGATACAAATCCAGTGAAACACACTGAGTTTTACATCTTCTAACTCACCTGCAATCTGGAAAAAATATCCCGATTTCCTGTGCAGCTACCGAGAACCAAATCAAAATTCTCTGAGCAGTTGTAACTCCTCGAACTGAAAGAAAAACACAATAAAAGCCTCCTAAGTATCTCCGCATGTACAGCCGTTCCTACTTCTCCGCCTCCAGAGTGGCGTGTGGTCACACAGCCAGAGGTCCCAGGGGACCACATGACACCCACAGTCATCAACAAAACAACCGTCTACAACAAAATACTAGCAACCCCAATCTAGTGACATCTAAAAACAATTATGTACCATAACCAAGTGGGATTTATTCTAAGAATGCGAGGTTGGTTCAACATCCTAAAATCAACATATCAATAGAATACACGTATCAATAAATAAAAACCATGTGAACATCTCAATAGACACAGATAAAACATGAGACAAAATTCAATACCCTTTCATGATAAAAACACTCAACAAACTAGGAACAGAAAGGAACTTCCTCAACCTGATTAAGGCCGTCTATGAAAAACCCACAGCTCGTCTCATACTTAATGATGAAAGCTTTCCTCCTAAAATCAGAAATAAGACAAAGTTCTCCTCTTTCACCGCTTCCATTCAATACCACTGGAAGTTCTAGCTGGGAGAGTTCAGCCAGAAAAAGAAATAAAAGGCATCCAGATTGGAAAGGAGAAAGTTAAACCGTCTCTATTCACAGATGACATGACTTTGCATACAGAAAATCTTAAAGAATTCACAATAAAAAACTATTAAAGCAAATAATTTCATAAAGTTGCAGGACATGCAATCAATATATAAAAATCAAGTTATATTTCTCTATACCCACGAATAATCCGAGAATGGAATTAAGACAATAATTCCATTTACAATGGTGTTAGAATACAATACCTAAGGATAAATTTAACCAAGGAGGTGCAAGACTTGTACAATGAAAACTATAAAACGTTGAAAAAATTATACAAGACCTAAATAAATGGAAAGACAGCCCATGTTCATGGATAGGAAGAATCACTGTTCTTAAAATGGTAATAACTACCCATAATTATCTACAGATACAATGCAATCTCTATCAGAAGCCCACCTGGTTATGTTGAAACTGGCAAACTGATCCTGAAATTCAGATGGAATTGCAAAGGACCCAGAACCCCCAAAACAATCTTTGGGGGAAAAAAGGAAGTTGGGGGATCCACATTTCCCAATTTAAAACTTCCTACAAATCTACAGTAATCAAAACAGTGTGATATTGGCATAAGAATAGATGTATGCACTACAAATCTTTTTTTTTTTAATATTTTATTTATTTATTTGAAAGAGCGTGAGAGGGAGAGAAAGCACAGAGGCAGAGGGAGAAGCAGACTCCCTGCAGAGCAGAGAGCCCAATGTGGGGCTCGATCCCAGGACCCCGAGATCATGACCTGAAGGCAGACGCTTAGCCGACTGAGCCACCCAGGCGTCTTATAAGTAAATAAAATCTTTAAAAAAAAAAAATAGATATATATGCCAAAGTGAATAAAGAGTCCAGAAATAAACCTTCACAGGTATGGTTAACTGATTTTTGGCAAGGGTGCCAAGACCATTTAATGGGGAAGGTCAGTGTCTTTAACAAAATGTGCTGGGACAACTGGATGTCCACATGCAAAAGAGTAAAGGTGGATCCTTAACTTATTCCATAAAAATTAAATCAAATGCATCAAAGACCTAAATTAAGAGCTAAAACTAAAAATAAACTGGACTTCATCAAAATATAACACTTCTGTGCATCAAAGGACTCCATCAAGGGAAGAAATGAAAAGATAACTCCTAGAATGGGAGAAAATATCTGCATCTCATATCTGATAAAGATCTCGTATCCAGAATACATAAAGAACTCTTTTTTTTTTTTTTTAAAGATTTTATTTATTTATTTGACAGAGACAGCGAGAGAGGGAACACAAGCAGGGGCAGTGGGAGAGGGAGAAGCAGGCTTCCCACTGAGCAGGGAGCGATACCAGGATCCTGGGAACATGACCTGAGCCAAAGGCAGCCGCTTAACGACTGAGCCACCCAGGCGCCCCATGAACTCTTAAAACTCAGTAAAAAAAAAAACCCCAATCTTAAAATGGGCAAAGGATGTGACATTTCTCAAAGAAGATACACAAATTGTCAACAAGCAAATGAAAAGATGCTCGACATCATTAGCCACCAGAGGAAAACAAATCAATACCATAATGAAATATACCATTTCATATCCATTAGAATGGGTATTATCAAAAGATAACAATAACTATGTTCGTGATAATGTGGAGAAACTGGAACTCTGATACTGTTGGTGGGAATGTAAAATGGTGCAGTTTTGGAAAAGTCTGGCAGTTCCTAAAAAAAGTTAAGATATGACACAACAGACTGATGAATCACAGACCTGTACCCCCGAAACAAATAATACACTGTGTATATTAATCAATATTGAAAGAATTTGAATTTGAAAGAAAATTGAAAGAAAAAATTGAAAGAATTTTGAAAGAAAAAAAAAGATATGACACAGCAATCCCATGCATAGCCATATGCCCAAGGAAAATGAAAACACAGGACCACAGAAAAGTCTGTACACAGAATTCTACCGAAGTACTCAGTCAATAAGTGAAAACCCAAATTTCCATCACGAGTAAACAAACTGTGGTCCATCCTTCAGTGGAATACTACTCAGTAATAAAGAAATGAAGTTCGGATAGATGCTATTATGTAGACTAAGCTTGAAAACACTGTCCTGAGTGAGCCACACCCAAAGGACCACATGCTTGTGTGGTTCCATTTATATGAAGTGTACTAGGATTGACCAATGCTTAGACAGAAAGTGAATCCCAGGGTTGGGGGCGTGGAAGGAAGGCACAGACACTCACTGACTTCGCTCTGCGCACGCATGCTTGCCCCTCCCTCCCAAGAGAAGAATGAAGGACGAGAGGGCCGGCCCCAGCCTCAGCTGCCTGGTGCTGCAGGTGTTACTCCCAGCCATGGAGCGCCACCAGGAAAAACTCCAGCGCCATCAGCTGTATTGCAATGCAGTGTGACTTGGAAGAGTCACCTCGCTAACTAGCTGACGTGTTTACACATCCTCGTGGAGAACAGAGGGACAGTGGGAAACATAAAGGCAGCCGTCCTCCCTTGTGTTCAGGAACCATTTGCATGGACCGTGTTTCTTAGAGGGTAACAAGATTCGTTTTCTAGGATTTAACACTTGTCACCTGAAATGTGGAAAATGGAATTGATTTTACTCGCCATCTTGACACAACAGTCATGAAGACAAAGACTAATCGAGACTAGCTCAGCCGGAACGCAAACCCAACACAGCTGCATGCTACGGAATTCTGCCCCCATGGCAGCCAGCCCACGTCCATGTTTCAGGCACCTGCGATGCTTGCCACCTGCTATAACCTACTTGTCCCACCTTTACACTTAATGACCCAGGTGCCAGGTGACAAAGCAGAAAGACAAGTCATTGCCGCTGGCAAATCTATACACAAAGGAAATGGATTCTGAAAACTTACCTTTACTTCAGACAGACTCAGACTTGCTATCAGGACATGTTCAACTGTGCTTTGTATAACACAAAGTAGACTGAGAGAAATAAGAAACACATTCTTAGAACTACCAAAATTAGAAGTATGACGCCCTTTGGCATCAGCATTCCTAACCTTTGGCAGAAGTCTATCAGCACGTCGACAAGAACCGTGCACGCTGTCTGCAGCTGCCCATCGCAGCCCCCTGCAGCAGAGGGCTTGGGGAGGAAGTGCTCATGGATCGCCCACTGGTGGAAGTCCCACCTGCAACAGCAAATACCAAGGTCTGTGCTGAGAAAGGCTGCAAACCAGTGCCTCACGTGGCCGAAAAGCGAGCCCACAGCCAGGGGCACAACGGCAGGGGGTTAAATCTGAGGGGTTGGGGCTACAGGAATGCCCTCTGCCACAATCAAGACCCCCTAAAGGGCCATCCCCCTGGGTCATTATCCCAGCGTCTACCAGCAAAGGTGTCCAGATCTGGACCAGGCTCTGCAGGTGCTCACAGGAAAGGTCTTGAGGATGTACTAAGTGAAAGCCTCAGTCAGAGAACCACTGACACTAGTCTATTTCTACAGAAAGAGCCAAACCCAACTAAGACGTTTCCACATACCCACGAATGGGCAAGGAACAGGTGAGAAAGGGCTGGTGCTTTACCCATACCATCTGAAGCCTCTACAGAATGTATTGAAGTGTTACTTATAGAATTAAAAAAGACAAGGTCTAAGCACAGCTTCAACATCCTGTGATCTGGGGGTAAGAAATCCTTATTATGGATCCTCACACTAGAAAATGAATTCCTTCTTTTCCTAGTGGAAATAGAGGAGGAGGAGGGAAGGGAGGGGAGACCCTAGGACACGCAAACCCATGCAGAAAGCACTCACAGGTGGCTGGGCACAGACCTGAGGAGCAAGCAAACCTCTATCTTGTTGGAAAAGCAGTTATTCTTTCCACAGTTCTTTCTTATTTCTACTTGCTCCTTCTATTACCTGAAGCCAGGAGACAGCATCCCGTGCATGTGAGGAACGTCTCTGACCACACAGGGACAGTGGCTCAGGGTGGCTCACGCTGATCCCTGCCCTCAGCTGCCCCCGGGGCTCCTGTGCCCTACCAGCTCCATTTTATCTACAGCACATTTCCCTCCCTGACCTCTGCACCCCCACACTGAGGGGCTGGTCAGCACCCCACTCTCATGCCCAGAACAGCACATCTCACCTCCCCCTGGTCTGAAGAGTTGGTCCTGGGACCCACAGGAGCTCAGACCTTGATTTATCCGCTCCTCATGCCACCAACTCAGGACCAGCACTGCCTGTGGCACCCACCAGCCCTCTGCTTCCGTTGTGTTCTTCCCACGCTCAAGACAGACGCAGGCTGGCCGCCCCAGCTGAGAACCATCTCAGGCGCCTTCAGCAGGACCCCGGATGGTCAGGACTCCACGGTAGCCCCTTACCACACCCAGCCTTCCCTGCTCCTCTCCCACCCAGGGGAAGCACACTTGCTGCCCCTGCCATCCCCACCCTGGGACCCGTTCTCACAGCCCTGTCTGGGGTCCTGATCTGTCTTAGCTGTCCGCCGGCTTCTCCCCAGGCCCACTGAGGCGTACACGTGTGTGCAGTTGCTTGGCAACAGTGCCCAGTCAGTGGCGTCAGGGCAGAAGTGCACCGCCTAGTGCCCCTGTCTGCACACAGGTGACAGAAGGGCAGGCTTGTCTCATCACAATGCACCCCCACTTTGGAGAACGTTCTAGAAGTGCTTGGCAAACAGGAGGAACTCAATAAATGTTTCTTGAATTAAGGAATGAATGCATGAAGATGTGCTAATAGGTCATATATTAAACTGAACATTGAGGATATAATGAGAGGACTCAGACTTCAAGACAATGCAGAAAACCTGACAGCATTTTGAAAGGCAGACCCCCCCCCTTTTAATAAGACTTTACTTATTTGAGAGAGAGAGTGCGTGTGCACAGTGGGGGGAAGGATCGGAGGGAGAAGCCGACTCCCCACTGAGCACGGAGCCTGACACAGCTCGGTCCCAGAACCCTGAGATTGTGACCTGAGCCAAAATCAAGAGTCAGATGCGCCCCAAGGCAGATCCCTTTCAACACTTACCTTTCCGTATGTGAGAGAGAATCAAGCTCAGGTTGGATTTCCAGTTCCAGCTGTAACCAGTCTCTGTAAGTTAACTGAGAGAAAAGGACGGCATGAACAGCACAGTGCAGATGGGACACGGAGACCAAGGTCGGCTTGGTAACAGTCTGCTGTCACCGCTCCGTGACCGTGGACGTCACAGCTGGAAGCCTCACAGGAGGCCAGCCGGGCCTACGCTGGCCTCTATGCTCACGCCGCTTCCCACCGTCGGACTGAGGTCCTGGCACCAAGCCCTGACGGGGAACTCAGATATTGCTTAATCGAACTCTGAACATGAAGCTCACCAAAACCATTCAAACTGGTACTGAAATTGAGTTCTCCAGCACACTGCCTGGTTCTGAACAGTTAACCTGTGGCCTCTGCAAACCACTCAGGTTACCACACAACACCACCAGGAAAGAAATCATTTTCTAGTGCAGTGGAGTTGGGCAAAGTAACCGAAGAATAAACTTGATGCAATGACATGCTTCAAATACTCACGGTAGCGTATTCCTTATTTTACAATTCTTGGAACGGTTTCACTCATCAACACCGACTAACCTCAAACCTCACACTGTGTGTAAAAAGCACATCCCAAAGCGCGCTCCCTGTCTGAAATACCAAAGCCTGGCAATACGGAGCAGTTCCTTGCTCGGGGACACATGCATGGGAAGCCAAGAGGCTCGTCCACGATCACCCGAACACCAAGGGCGGCGGCCCGCCGAGACACCCGCCAGGCTGCATGTGGGCAGCGAGTGTTCTATGCACACTGCAGCATCGCCTACTATGCTCAACAAACACGGTCAACCTGCTCTGGTGTAACCGATACAATTAGTAAAAGAACTGAATATATAATAAAACAACTGAGAATTTTTTCTCTAAGGACCAAAATAAGCAGACCAACATCCAGGTGAGTAAACGAAAAGTTATGAAAAGGTAGCAGACTAGTAACACAGGCATGTTGGCTGAAGCAGGCCAAGGCTCCCCAGGACTATGTTCAGAGAAGTGCAACCCCAAATTGCAGCCTGGCAGGTATGTTCCAGATACATTTATATTCACCCTTAAAACCTTCTGCAAAATGTTAGTGCTGGGGAAACTGGGCAGAGTAGACGTGATCTTTCTGTCTCATTTCTTACAAGTACATGTGACTCTACAGTGGTACCAGTAACGACTTCCATCCAAGCCACTTCTGCGGTGCTCCAGCATCAGGCCCGCCTGCCTGCCCACCACGTCCTCAGGAAACCCCACAGCTACCCGCAAAACCCTGTGCGTTAGGACAAGGCAAGAGACAGGAAAAGGGGCAGTGGGACCTACGTGAAATTCTTTCTGCTTCAACAGTTCCTGGAAGGTTCTCTGTTTCCACAGACACAGGGCGGCTCGCTGCCAGTCGGCAGTCGGCAGGCACAGGAGTCTCCAGGGAAGGCCGGCTGGGTCCTCCTGAGAGGGGGGTTCCCGGGCTTCTGAGAACAGTCTGAGTATAACGAACTGGAACTGGAGAGAGATGGTAAACTGGCTGTGTGCCACAGGGCAGGGCAGCGTGGAGACGCTGTGGACACCTGGAGTGACCCGGCGAACCTCTCATGGGGCACTCTGGGCGCCCTGCGTTCAGCTACTGACAGCATCTCAGTGACCAGCCCTGTCTGCCAATCTTGGCGCACATCTGTCTCCCGGGGCACAACACCTGGAGGCAGAACTGCTGGCTCTAAATGGTCCCCCACAGCGGTGGCTGGCAGTCCTCCCAGCCTGTTGCTGGCACTGGTTTTCCCACTGTAAGAGGGTGCCAACTGGATAAGCACAAGAATGTCCATGAGTGTTTGCCATTAGGAGCTGCTCAGGGGGACCAGGGGAGGGCACTGGGACCCCCCTCAGAATTCGGCAAAGGTGGGACCGGAAACTTGTCTGGGCCGCCTCTCCTAATCTCTGTTCCATGCTTCAAACTGTGGGCACCTGGGACTAAGCTCCTCAACACCAATGACGGGAGCACACAGGTGTCCCGACGGCACTTAACCTGAGGGCAGGACCAGGGCTTCTCAGTGGATTCTAATGTGGAGCCTGGAACTCAGATCTGCGTTTCAACTTCACAGATGTTCCTTAAAACTCCACCAAAGGAATAACAGGGGTTTCCATTCTCACTCCAAGTTCACTTTTGCCACTGAGGTTTTCTGACACACATCTTTAAACTTCTCTGGTCTTGGGGCGCCTGGGTGGCTCAGTCAGTTAAGCATCCAACTCTTTTTTTTTTTTTTTTTTAAGATTGTATTTATTTGACAGAGACACAGCGAGAGAGAGAGCACAAGCAGGGGGAGTGGGAGAGGGAGAAGCAGGCCCCCCGCTGAGCAGGGAGCCCGATGCGGGGCTCGATCCCAGGACCCCGGGATCGTGACCTGAGCCGAAGACACTTAGTGACTGAGCCACCCAGGCACCCCAAGCATCCAACTCTTGATTTTGACTCAGGTCATGATCTCAGGGTCATGAGATCAAGCCCCACATCGGGCCCCGCGCTCAGTTCAGAGTCTGCTTGAGGTTCTCTCTCTCCCTCTGCCCCTCCCCAACTCTTGCTTGCTCTCTCTCTCTAAAATAAATAAATAAGATCTTTAAATTTCTCTAGTCCTGTAAATAAATACAACATTCAATAGACGAGGTAAGTCTTCTGAGAAAATCAGAATTCTTTTTTAAATAGATACTTTTCATGAATATTTCTTTTAATATACCAACTTTACAAAAATCAGTATGTTTCTTTTTAAAAAAAAAAGGAGGAACATTTGTCGTCTTTGTCATTTTACAGCCCCTCCTTCATCTTAAGTCTGAGAACAGAAGAAAAAGGCAGTTTCAGTCCCAGGAGACAGTCCGATACACCGGGAGCACAGTGTGCAGAGATGTGGGCGGGGAGAGAGCAGACAACCGGACCTTCGCTAGAAACCTGCATGAAACTGGAGATTCACAGAATGGAGAAAGGGAAGTGACAGACCTACCTTTTTCATGAGGGCTGGAGATAAGCAGCTGTACAAAATATCTCGCGACAGGGAAGAAGACTTACACAAAAAGTAAGAAATCACCGCTGTACAAAATCTGAAAGCAGAAAACAGAATGTAGAAATGTGATGCATGCAACATACGGGATGAAATGAATGTAAGCGTGAATTTCACAAAAGGGATCTGACTGCATTCTAAACCAGATGTCCGGAGGGTTAGTCTCGGCCTCAGCTCTGGGCCAGGCTGGCTCCTGAGCCCTCGGGAACCAAGCCCCCGTGTCACACCCATGGGTCTGAGCTCTGTCCACGCTGAAGGCACAGATGCAGAAAACACCGCAACAGTCAGACTGTGCAAGTACAGGCTTGCTTTCGCCGCATGTAGAATCACGGCCAAAACAAAAGTGATCAAGTCAGATGTGATTGGGAGTGCTTCTGACGTACCATCACCCCATTCACTGTTCCTTCCTGAAAGAAGTCTGTGGAACCAGGCATAAGCAGGCCTTTTAAACTCAGCCTTAGGAGAAGCCCTTGCCCACCAATGTGTTGGGTTGTCAAGTGTCGAAGAGACCGACCCCGGGGCCCAGGGGAAGTCAGGAAGGTACCGAGGAAGGAAGGGGGACCAGGGCACTTTCAGGACTGACTGCCAGTGAGGGCTCTCGGTGTTGCCAAAAGCCTGTAAGAGGCTGGACGGCTCTGCCTCCCACTGTGGAGGGCTCAGGGGTCCAAGGCAGGCATTCTAGTGCATGTCTCTCCCCGCTCTAATTCCTTATGCCTTTTGTCAGTTCCGTCCGTGAACTGCAATCCCAGCCCCCAGCAAACAACCCATTGGAACCTCCTGGCTTCTGCCTTGACCCTCCGTCCATTCACCCCGGGATCGAGTAAGTCTAGACTCCCAGGGCCCTGCCCTCAGCACGTGGGGACCCATCCCTGCCCTCGCTGGGGTGGGCGGCTCACTGACACCGGCCCACCTCTCCCGGCACCTATCACCCCGCATGCACACGCTATCAACTTGCCAGATGCCCCCACACAAAAGGGCAGGGATTTGGTTCCACCCCAGGTCCTGGAATGGGTCTGACCCACAGTGGTGTATAAGGGAAGCGTGGGGGTGTATACTGGCACAAACTTCTAGAACGATGGGTCTCAAAACCCCTTCAGATGAGTTTCTTTGGACTGGGCAACTCCATGTGCAGGTACCTACCCCACAGAAACAGCTACTCACCACAGGGAAGCCCAGCAACCCAGCCAGAGGGACGGGTCCCACTGGATGCCAGGCGCCCCCAAGACAAAACCCAGTAATGCTCGCCACAACCGAAGATGGCTTAACAACATGGAAGGATAACTACGGTCTACTGTAATGTCTTAAAAGGCAGCTTTTAAGGTAGTATACTCTCATTTTTGTAAATAAATAAAGAAATACACACGAGTATACACGCTATAAAGACTCTGGAAAGACATATACCAAATGTTAGAGTGATCACCTATGGAGCGTGTATGTGTTGACCAGCTTTATGTGATGAGAATGTGCTACTTTGTGGAGAGGGGAGAGGCACAGCAGAGAGGCGGGAGGGGGAGCTCACTTCAGGCAGAAGAGCGAGGTCTCTGCGGTTCCAAACGTCAGGAGGCTACTGAAGAACTCTGGGATGGGGAGGCTCTTGGCAGGGGCAGGAAAACCCACGCGCACCTCTGGGAGTACAGACCTGGACTCGCCCAGGTGGACGACCAGGGCAGCCAGGCCCAGCACGTGGGAGGTACTCAGGCTTGGGCCCTGAAACAGGAGACGGTGTTTCTCCAGGAAGGAGGGTGGAGCCCCCTTCCCAGGCGGAGGGAGGTGGCAGCCCTACCTGGTGACGGAGTAGTTGGCAAAGCCGGGTGAGCACGACAGGGAGGAGCCTGCGTCCACACATGGCTGTCACGAAGCGAGCAGCCCAGGGGCCCTGCCTGCAGAAAGAGCCGCCGAGACCAGCAGTCCGGCCAGTCCTGGCCCTGCACGGCCTTCCCACGGGTTCTGCTGCACAAGCACTCACGCACAGGAGGCCTCAGAAAGAACCGGGCTATTCCCCCAACAGCGGGGTCTCCCACGGTGATGCTTAACCTCTGCCGTGTCTGCACCTGATAAAAGTCAGCACGGCCCCTCCACCCCGCCTGGGACCCCCAACCGGTACAGAAGGCAAAAGGCAGCACCCAGGACCCAGGATCAGAGCTGGACTAGGAATGGCAGCCTTGCTCCCCGTCCTCGTCATGAAAGACAGGGAGGAACTCTGCTCCACCACGGAGACCTGATCCGAGCACCCAGGCCACCCCACACACGACTCCACACCACCCAGTGAGAATCACCAGCCTCTACCTGGCTGGTGGGGCGAAGCTGGAGGCTGCAATCAGGTTCTGACAAAAAGACGTCAACAGGAGGTCCGCGATCTGAGAGAGAAATGGTCACTGAGGGCACAGAGTCCCGGAGAGCAACGTGCACGAGCCGGACTGTTTATGCCTCTGAGGAAACAATCACACTGACTGGCAGCCAAACCCCACTCCCAATCCTGAAGGACGGCGGGCCAGCAGTCCCACAGTCCCAGCCGTGAACCTTCACAACAGGGAACAGGGTCAGCACACCTCGTCTATACAGGCCCAGAGAGTAAACAGTTTTAGGCTTTGGGGCCACAAATGGCTGGGCTGAGTGTGCCCAGCTCCTGGGTGTCTGGTTCCCTGGGGAGGAGAGCAGTGCACGCAGCACTGTCTGCACGGTCCATCCCTGCTCGCCAGCCTATTGTAGGCATCCTGCGCTCACCTCCTGTTCCCGGTGCTCCAAGTGTGGCGCCAGGATACTGAGCTGGACCTGCGATACCTCCAAGCTGCCGTCCTCCTCGCCCAGGCCCAGGGCGGAGCTGAGCCTTTCAGAGACAACTGCCATGTGAGCAGAAAGAACTGCAAATGGAGAAACACGGTGAGCTGACCAGGAAAGCTGCTGACGCCCACCCCCCACTGCACCCCGGGGCCGGCTCTACAGAAGCAGCCCAGTCTCCATTCCGGGGACAACACCTGCCACTAATGCTGGGGCCGCGCACATCCAGCAGCCAAGCGGTGCAAACTGCTTTTCCCACATGGCAGGTGGTGGTGCTGAGACGGTGGACGGGCACGAGGCGGGGCAGAACGGGGACAGGGGCCGTCCACTGCCTTTCGTCGGGTTACCTGAGGGGTCCATGTGTTCCCTCCCCACCGCAGACCTCACTTGATGCACACTCTGCGTCTCCCCCACACACTGTCACATCTGCCCGAGGTTCCACGTCCCACCGTCAGCCTCTGGGCGCCAGAGGCCAGGGAACAAATGGGCCAATCGTGCCAGCTGGAAACGGCAATCTGCTTGCTAGGGACGAGGCTGACCTGACCTGTCGGCTATCCGGCTGAAGCCCCGGGGTTCCACCCCAGCCTCGCCGTCCCCACATGCCCAATTCGCAGGAGCGCAGCTCTGAGAGGCCACGGCCCCCGGGACCCTGTGCGCCGTGAGCAGGGGCACTGAGGTGGCATTATTAGTATTTCCTCTGGGAGGCTCTCACAGGGCGTTCTGTCCTGGTTTGAATACAATGCATTTATAATATAGAAAAACCTATTACATGTCCTGGATAAAAATAGGGTTTATTTACTTTAGATTCTGCATTTTTCCCAACGACAATCTCTTCAGTAGGAGAAGTTCGTGTTTTATTTTACGGACTGCCGCGCACTGCTACGTGACGCGAACCGTTCACGCTCTCCCTCCACAAATGAGCACGGCCGACATGCCATGTTGCAGGAACTGGTCGTACAGAAGCAGAGGCCAAGTCCTTAGTTCTCCGCGAGTCAGCCGGCACAGCCGAGTAACGCCAGTTCTCCCCTCTCCACCACCTGGCCTGCTGGGATGTCAAACCGCAGAGCGCTCATCTCTGCTAAGGCTCTGGGACGGCCTGACGACGGACCCGTCTCCCGTCCAGCACCCGCCGGCGCTGCGGTCAGGTTGACCTGAGCCCGGGCACGGCTGGATGCCCACTCGGCCCACAGGCACCCACTGCAGACCGCCCTGCCCACAGCCAGGCCCTCACCGTCATACTGAGAGGGGTCTGTCATGGCAGCTCTGAGCTCGCTCAGGGCAGCGGCGAGTGGTCCCAGCGGTTCTTCCGCACAGCCCCCGGCTTCCGCCTTCACCCCTGCGGCTGCATCTGGGAGAGGACAGAACACACACAACTGGACGTGGCTCCTCTGTGAGAAGGGTGGACAGAGGCCCCAGACGAGGTGCCATGCTGCTGGGCACGGATCATCGTATCAGAAACGTGTTTATAAATGTTTAAGAAAAAACATGGTTCTATGCACAATATGCCATAAAGGTGAAAAGCATATATGTAAAGAAAAAGGACCAGAAACACGGTGAGGGGGTCTGGGTGGGGACATAGGATTGTGGATGGGTGACAATTTTATTCAGTTTCTCAAACTTGTAAGTAACATTGTCATACTGTTTTCTTAATAGGATGTTTAAAAAACATAAGATGTAAAGAAAAAAGCTAAGAATTAGTATACAAGAGATGATTACCAGTTCTCAACATATATTTCATAGATTTACGCAAAAAGATTAGATCTGATCACAAATTTGTAAAAGAAAAATGTTTCTTGAGGCGCCTGGGTGGGTCAGCTGGTTAGGCATCCAACTTCTGATTTCGGCTCAGGCCATGATCTCAGGGTCATGAGATCAGGCCCCATGTTGAGTTCCACACTGGATGTGGAGCCTGCCTAAGATTCTTTCTCTCGGGGCGCCTGGGTGGCTCAGTCGTCGGGCGTCTGCCTTCGGCTCAGGTCATGATCCCAGGGTCGTGGGATCGAGCCTCACATCGGGCTCCCTGCTCAGCGGGGAGCCTGCTTCCCCCTCTCCCTCTGCCCCTGCTTGTGTTCCCTCTCTCGCTATCAAATAAATAAATAAAATCTTAAAAAAAAAAAATTCTCTCTCCCGCTGCCCCTCCCTATTTGCACATGTGCTCATGCTCTCTTAAAAAAAAAAATTTTCTTCAAATACAATTTTTCTTTCTTTTTTTTTTCCTTTTTTAATGTTAAGCTCTATACCCAACTTGGAGTTTGAACTCACAATCCTGAGATCAAGATTTTTATGCTCCCCTGACTGAGCCAGCCAGGCATGCCCAAACATACAATTTTCATTAGAAAAAGGAAGGCAAAGGGGCCTGGGTGGCTCAGTCGGTTGAGCACCATGACCCGAGGGTCCTGGGATCGAGTCCCACATCGGGCTCCCTGCTCAGCGGAGAGCCTGCTTCTCCCTCTGCCCCTCCCCCTGCTCATGCTCTTGTGCTTTCTCTCAAATAAATAAAAAAAAAAATCTTAAAAAAAAAAAAAGGGAAGGTACACTACATGCTTTAAAAGCAAAACAAGTTCAAGTTCTGGAGTCACTGGAGAAGAAATGGGTACACGCAGTGAGCCTTACAAGATAGACACCATGACAAAACTAGAAATCAGAAGGCTTCTTTTATAAGCCTTGCCAGATAAAGTACAGAAAACATTCTCGAGGCCCCCAGGGCAGGGCCAGGGGGCTGGGTACGGAGGAACTTGCCTCTCACATACTGGACACGGTCCTAACAGCCTCCCTGATATCCCCAGCACGGAGGTGAGTTGTTTCAATAATGGTAAAAACAAGTGTGAGACCTGGGACCTTCATTCTTTGCCCACTCAAGTTTTCTCAGTCTCCGTGGCCGTGAGAAATCATCCAAGCATGTAAAAAAGGAAGGGTTTTGGGAGACAGAACTAGAAAACACAGCCTCATTCAGCCTAGCTGGCCCTGTAAAGGTCAGAGGATTTAAACCACGTGACAGTGCTAAGGAACCAGGCCCTCCTCCGGATGAGCCTCCCACCACCACCCTGTTAGCAGAGACAATGGGATAGGTGGGAACACGCCAGCAAGGCCGCCCAGCGGCTCTAAGCACCGCTGTCTCACGCACACTGTCGCAGATCGGACCTAGGTCTATACACGGATGCCCATGAGCTGAGCAATCCCCAACCCACTACAGACGAACTCAACCGTCCCAAGAAGCAGACCCCCCACGACACCCCACTTCAAAATCAACACTGCAGGCCTCAAGCCCGGCAGCCTCATCTGACAGGTTGCCCGAATCAGGACAGGCAAGCAGAAGGCACATCACAGCCTCATGCAGGACGTTCAGGGAGATGCCCTGTCAGGTAACTTTCCAGGGCCTCTGGGCTGGGGGAGGGGGGGGTTCCTTCCTGACTGAGCCAGATCAGCACTGGCCCGAGGTGTGGCCTGCACACCTCGTGACTAGGGAAGTAGAAGGTACCCGTCCTGGGGACGGACAGACCCATTAACCTTACGTTCTGGCTTCTTCTCTTCCACAGTGGAGCAGGCTTGGCAGTAGGTGGAATACAGAGACAGGGGAATTTTATCTGCCCTGGATCAGGAGAAAACATGAAAACCAAGTCAGTTATGACTCAAATTAGTCCTCAAGCTCACAATTCCAAAAACTATCATAAAACAAAAATACATGATATAATCTATTATCCATACCTTATAGTATGACCCTGTTTTTAGAAAAAAAAAGAAACCATTACATGAATCAAATGGTCCTTACTGTTCATAATTTGCCATATACAAATATCTGCCAATGTGGTTGTCTTAGGACAGTGAGATTATAAATGATTTTTACTTCTCTCAATAAAGTTTGAGTAATTTCCAAATTTTTTTAATGAACTTATAATTACTTTTAATGAGTAATACTGAGAAAAACACCCAATTTATGTCATTAAAAACACACAGAATTATAGAACAAAGTCCTGTGATGAGGACATTCAGAGGAGCAGGAACCACCGAGTGGCAGCCCAGGTATGGGACACGTGCAGTGGCATGGCCTACAGGACACAAAGTCTCCAAATGAGCAGTGAGGCAGGAGGGCAGCCGCCCCACGGTGCTGCAAACCCAGACGATGAACCAGGGAAGGAGCTGGATGGGCCCCAGGGCAGGAGTCCCACTGCGGGCCGCAGCGAGGCAGGGGACAGCCCGCAGAGGGGAGCGCAGCACGCACCCAGAGACTGGAAAACCGTGAGATTCAGGATCAGAAACCAATGCAAAGAAAAAGAGCAAATCTGAGGAAATGGAGAAATCCACATAAAAGAACATTTCAGACACCACTCATCCTCAGAGAGCTAAGACAGTGACAGAAGGGTCGGGCAGATAAACCGGAAGAAATCCCTCTGAAAGAAGAGAAAATAACACCCAAAAAACCAGATATGGAAAATGTGACAGAGAACAAGTCACAAGACAATCCTGGCGATCCAATGTCTGGGAAGTGGGAGCCGCAGGAAGAAGCCACACAGGAAAGGAGACCTGCACGAAACAAGCTACTGACATCGTCTGGGCCTGGGGTTTGCTTCCAAACAGCCCAGAGTGGTGGGGGGACAGGGGCATGTGAGCGCCACACAAATACTATTCTATTTTCTGTCTTAAATTTTCCATTAACAAAAGATTTTAAAATATCTGAGAAAATTTCTTAGTACTGAAGGACATAAATTGCCAGATTAAAAGGCCCACCTTCTGCCTCGCCAAGAAATGAAATTAGACCCACACCCAAATACGCAGCTGTAAAATTTCAGAACACAGGGAACAACAAAGATACTGCAAGTCTCCAGAGAGTAAAACACAGGTCACATGCAAAGAATCAGAAACATAGTATCTCAACATCAACACTAGAAGCTAGACATCAATGGAGCAATACTTTAAAAAATGTGAGGAAAAGTATTTCCAACCCAGATTTCTATACCCCACCAAACTACCTACCAAATGTGAGGGCCGAATAAGCTGTCCAAAAAGAAAGAAAGAAAAGAAGAAATAGAGAGATAAATATAAAAAAATCAGTTAAGAGTTAAAAATGTGGGGCACCCGGGTGGCTCAGTTGGTTAAGCAGCTGCCTTCAGCTCAGATCATGATCCTGGGGTCCTGGGATCGAGCCCCACATCTGGCTCCCTGCTCAGTGGAAAGACTGCTTCTCCCTCTACCTCTGCCTGCCACTCTGCCTACCTGTGTTACCTCTGTCAAATAAATAAATAAAATCTTTAAAAAAAGAGTTGAAAATGCTTGCCTCCGGAGAAAAAGAAATGGCAGGGAGGGGTGAGGGAATGGCTGTTTCTCCTGATAAACTTTATAAAGCTGACATTTTAATCTACATGCTTATTTGACTTTGACAAAAACAATTTTTTAAAAGATTTTATTTGTTTATTTGAGAAAGAGAGCATGCGAAAGAGAGCATGAATGGGGGGAGGAGGGAGAACAAGCGGGGGTGGGGAGGTGGGCTGTGGGATGGTGGGAAGACAAGACCCCCCCACTGAGCAGGGCGCCTGACATGGGACTCGATCCCAGGACCCTGAGATCATGACCTGAGCTGAAGGCAGACTCTTCACTAACTGAGCCACCCAGGCGCCCCCAAAAACAATTTTTTAAAGCCTAAGAATAAATGTCAAAGAATGAGGAAGCCATACCATGCAAACACCAAAAAGAAAAAAAACGGAAAAAAAGCTGGCATTAACAGCCTGATAAATAAATAAAGCCTAATAAAGACATTACATAATAATGAATGAAAAAATACCCAGAAAGAAGGCTATATTTTGCAGGCTTTAACAATCATAAACTTGTATGCAACTGATAAAATAGGCTTCAAAATACATAAACACAAATCTGACAGAATTACAAGGAGAAAACGACAAAACCACAACATCCATAATAAACTGATAAACCAAAGGGACAGAAAACTGGTCAGGATATAGGAAACTCAAGAACAGGTACAATGTAACAGACAGACACTACACCTCCAAATTAAAGAATATTCAGTGAATGTTTACAAATGCTGAACATGTATATAGTCTATGACAAAGTCTCAATTTAATAAAAATCCATAAAAAGCTAATCATATTCTTTGAAAATAATTGGAAATCAACAATAAAAGCTCAGGGACAAACACCTACATGTTTGGAAAATTTTTCAATTCATTTACAACTAAAAATTATAAGAAAATCATAACACAAATAATAAAATTTTATAGCTAAATGACAATCTAAGAACTATATACTGAAACTTTTGGAAGGCACTAAAGTAACAGAGGTAAAATTTATTAAGATATACCTGTATTAAAACACAAGAAAGATAAAACACCAAGTTAAACAACCAGCTTAAGAACCTATAAAAAGGGGGCACCTGGGTGGCTCAGTCGTTAAGCGTCTACCTTCGGCTCAGGTCATGATCTCAGGGTCCTGGGATCGAGCCCCGCATCGGGCTCCTTGCTCAGCGGGAAGCCTGCTTCTACCTCTCCCACTCCCCCTACTTGTGTTCCCTCTCTCTGTCTCTGTCAAATAAATAAAATCTTAAAAAAAAAAAAATTTAAATTATAAATAAATAAATAAAGCAATGAAATAGAAGATAAAAAATACCAGGTATGGTAATACCAAAAAGTAGTTATGCGATAAAATTAATACAACAGACAAATCTTTAACGAGAGAGTAACAAAGAAAGGGCAAAATTTTTTTAAAATTTTTTTATTTTTTTAATTTCTTATTTATTTGTGAGAGAGAGAATGAGAGACAGAGAGCATGAGAGGGAGGAGGGTCAGAGGGAGAAGCAGGCTCCCCGCTGAGCAGGGAGCCCGATGTGGGACTCGATCCCGGGACTCCAGGACCACGACCTGAGCCGAAGGCAGTTGCTTAACCAACTGAGCCACCCAGGCGTCCAGAAAGGGCAAAATTAACACTAGCAGGAATTAGAAAAAAAAGAAGAGGGGCGCCTGGGTTGCCCAGTCAGTTAAATATCTGACTCTTGATCTCAGCTCAGGTCTTAATCTCAGGGTTGTGAATTCAAGCCCCACACTGGGCATGGAGCCTACTTAAAAATATATATATATAAATGATGGGATTTACTGACAATGCTATGTCAGTAAATTTGAAAATTTAGATGAAACACATGGTTTTCTAGAAACATACAACTAACTCAAGGAGAAATAAAAAACCTGACTAAACCAATAAACATTCAAGAAACTGAATCAGTTGTCAAGAGCCTGCCTCCAAAATAGATACCAGGAACAGATGATTTTATAGCCAAGTTTTACCAAACTTAAAGGAACACAGAATCCCTATGTTATACGGACTGTTTTAGGAGACAGGAAAGAGGGAAGGCCATCGAATTCATTTCATGAGGTACTACAACCTTGATGTCAAAACAGCCAAGATGAGTGAAAAAGTATGAGACACAGATACAAAAATCCTAAATAAAGTATCACTAATTCAAATTCAACAGCCTCTATAATAAAAAAATCATTACCAAGTAGGAAATGATCCAGAATGCAAGGACAGTGAAAAAAATCAATGTAATCTATCCTATAACAGATTACAAAACAGCAAAAACCATTTTAAGAGATGCAACAAAAGCATTAATTCATGCTAAAAGTCCTTAGCAAATTCACATAGAGGGAACTTTCTTAATATCGTAAAAAGCATATGAAAATATATGGAGACTATAGCATATAGAAGTATTGGTAAAATTTTAGAAGCATTCCTATTTGAGTCAGGAACAAGACAGCTTCTTATTCCTACAATTTCATATTATACTAAAAAGCCTACCCAATACGTAAGACAAAAATGGAGAGGTATAAAGATGAGAAAGGAAAAGACAAACTGTTATTCTCATAGACAATGTGATTATCTACAAAAAAAAATCTACTAACCAGCAGGGTTATTGGATAGGGGAGCACCTATACCCCAGCAATAACCCCCCCAAAAAAGTAATATGCTTTTCACAGCAACAAAATCTAAGTACCTAGTAGTATATTGAACAAAAAATTTACAAGACAGAAAAATCTACTACTGAAAGGCTTAAGCAGATTTACTATGTTCATGGAAGGAAAAAGTTATAACAAAGTCAACTACCCACAAATTAATCTATCAAATTAAGGAAATTTAACTAAAAATTCTGAATTTTCACGGAGATACATCCAAGGATGTTCACTGAAGGACTACTAAAACATACTGGAGTTCACATAAGAGTTCTGCTATAGGGGATGGATAAATTAATCAAGGTAGTTATTGTGCAGACCATGGGACCCTGGGGGCGTGCAATACAGCAACTGTAGCCACAGAACAGAATTCAATGCTATAGTTAAATAAGTGACCCAGAGCACACGGGCATCAAGATGAGTGAAAATCCAGCTGCAGAATGACACAGTGTGATGTGTGCGTATATACATACATACTTTGTAGCTGTAAACATGTGTGATAAAAAAATTAAACACAGGAAAAAGAGGGGCAGCCGGGTGGCTCAGTCGGTTAAGTGTCTGCCTTCGGCTCAGGTCATGATCCCAGGGTCCTGGGATCGAGCCCCACTTTGGGCTCCCTGCTCAGCGGGGAGCCTGCTTCTCCCTCTCCCTCTGTCGCCCCCCTGCTTGTGCTCTACCTCAAACAAATATATAAAATCTTTTTAAAAATAATAACAAGATAAAATCTTAACCAATTTTGAGCCAAAATTTTATAAATAAAACACATTTTTCTACAAAAGCACCACAATTCTTCGCATTTGTCAAAAACTGTTCTGGAAACAGGTGTCCTTACATACCTCCTCAGGGACTCTATCAAGGCCACTCTGGAATCAGGGGTTCTCGGAAGCTGTGGGGGAAGACGGGATTCAAGTGAGACATCTGCTCTCTGCCACCTGGGCCCCAAGTCCATGACCACATGTACTGACCACTCGAGGTGTGAGCAGGGCGGGGAGAAAGTGAGACACGTAGTAAGGTCTCCTGAAGATGCTGCAACACAGAAGAGCAGGTTCAGAGGCGTCACAGACGACAGAAGCGTTAGAAAACCTTACTGACAACTATGAAAACATCCATTTCCACAGAAACTCACTGCATTTCACAGGGTGGGACCAGCGGGTTGTCTCATTTCATGTCACATGGCTGTGATATTATACCACAGTTTCTTTTTTTAAAGATTTATTTATTTCAGAGAGAGAACGTGAATGTGCATATGAGCATGCGAGTGGGGGGATGGGGAGAGGGAGAGAGAGAATCTCAGTCAGACTCCCCGTTGAGCACAGAGCCCAACACGGGGCTCAATATCAGGACCCCGAGATCATGACTCGAGCCAAAATCAAGAGTTGGACACTCAACCGACTGAGCCACCCAGGTGCCCCTATACTACTGTTTTTAGTCTTCTTTTTCACTCTTTTGGGACATTTCATGCAAAAGGAAGCAACAACCCTCCATCCCAAGGATCTGGAAGACACTCTGCCGGAGGCACAGCCATGTGATCTGGGTTAGTCATTTCAGGTCAGCTGTAGGTATTCTCCTTGGGGCTGAGTAGAAATCCCGGGGAGCTAGAGCCAGTTCACATTTCTGAAAAGCAATGCCTTCCAAAAGCTACCCACATTGGTAATAACCAGAGTTCCAGATGTCTGGGGATCACCAAATTCAACAAAATTTTGCTATTCAATTCTGTCCTGGCCCCACACTGGTCACCCATGAAGAAGTAATAAAAAATCGTTATTAAACCATGGGCTTGGGACACCTGGGTGGCTCAGCCAGTCAAGTGTCTGCCTTTGGCTCAGGTCAACGAGCCCACATCAGGCTCTCTGCTCCGCAGGGAGTCTGCTTCTCCCTCCCCCTCTGCTCCTTCCCCCTGCTTGTTCTCTCACTCTCAAATAAATAAAATCATTAAAACTAAAAATAAATCAACCAACCAACCAACCAGAGGCTCATTCTCGTCCTTCTCTGTGGGCTCTACTCAACAATACCCATTGGCTTTTCTCAAGAAACTGAGTTTCACAGCAAGGGCTCTGCACCACCTCATTACAGGACTCGTGTTGGGGCCTCTATCCTAGGTCACCCACAAACACAACAGCCACCCTGCTCCGCATGGGTCTGAGAACAGATGGGACAACTCCAAGAAGCATGACCCTACCTGGCCTCCATGACGGCGACAGGAACCTTCCCTGTGTGTTCGAATACCGCAACGGCCTTCTCCACATCCTGGTGCGCTTGGCTGTGGGGCTGGCTCCATCCAGGGAGGATGGGGAAGGAACAGAAGATTTGAAGGAAAAGATACTGAGCAGGGAAGGTGCCATCAGCCTACCCTTCGGCACCACAACTCTGCCATTTCAAGGTGGACGGCCATGCGCTCGCTGCCGGCACAGCAAGGGGATGTTCAGACAAACCAGTGCCAACAAGACCATGGAAAGGCAACGAGCCACCCCGGGGACCATTCAACACCTCTGGAAGCCTCTGCCACCCTCCTGGCTCCCCTCGAGGAGAAGGCAGCGTTCTGAGGAAGGAGGAGGGACTTAACTTTTCAGAGCTGAAAAAACTATGAAATGACAACATATCAGCAGCAATGATTCTTAAGTAGATACCTACATTACTTAAAAATATGGGGTGCCCTTGGGGGCTCTGTTGGTCAAGCGTCTGCCTTCGGCTCAGGTCATGATCCCAGGGTCCTGGGATCAAGCCCCACATCGGGGTCCCTGCTCTGTGGGGAGTCTGATTCTCCCTCTCCCACCCCATTAATGCTCTCTCAAATAAATGAATAAAATCTTTAAAAAATAAATAAATACTTAAAAATATTCACCTAACACTTTCATGGCAGCTGTAAGGGCTCTCTGGCCATTCACAGCTTTTAAGTAAGAGTCTTTTTCTTTTTTTTTTTTTAAAGATTTTATTCATTTATTTATGAGAGAGAGAGAGCACGAGCAGGGAGTGGCAGGCAGAGGGAAGGCATGCTTAACTGATTGAGCCACCCAGGCGCCCCTAAGTAAGAGAATCTTAAAATAACATATACACACACCATACAGCCATCTGACATCTGGTTTACATAAACACAGTTAACACTTCTTCCTGCAATTCTTAGAAACACAGGATCTTCCTCCAACCCCATTTTAAAGACCTCCTCTTCAATGCACACCCACATGAATGAAGATCTAAAAGACCGTCCTGCACACGGTAACTTGCTTTAACTCCCGTCCTCCAGATACACCAGACAGAACAGGCTCAAATGCTCAGCTCAGAGTCACAGGAAATCAGACTGTGCTGGTGAGCACAGGCCAGAGGCCACAGGGGGCAGCAGAACCGAGGTGACGTTACCTCCGTGATGTCCCTGCCTGAAGACAGATCCTCGTAGAGGCCCATGTTCTCCACTGAAACCTGAAGAGGGGACATGGTGGGGACCATGAGGCACTGGCCTCTGCGGAGAGAGGCTGAGGAGCTGCTGCTGAGGGGGAGGGGAGGCCATGACTCGCCTTCAGGTCAGCCAGGCGTGTCTTGGCCAGCGTAACATAGTCCGTGAGGAGGGAGCGGTACTTGCTTGGCACCAGTGGCGGGTGGAGAATGTGCACCTGCAGGCAGATGGCAGAGCAGGGCCCCATCAGTCCTTGAACTGGGGGTGGCTTTCTGGGGCAGCAGCAACAGCTCACCGTGGACACCTGAGCTTACACCAAAGGTGGGAAACTCAAGGGATGAGCCAAAGACGCAGGGGGCTCAAGCCGGGAATGGAACAGACAGAATCCCGGCCCAGGGAGAGTATGTGGCCTGGTCCTCGCACAGAGCTGGCCCTCACCCAGCGCAGCCTGGCACTCACCCCGTCTCTCCCCTGACGCACAAACACAGGAGTGCCCCAGCCCCAGGGAGAGAAGGGGTCAAGCCCTCAGGGCAGGGGGGGGGTTCTGAGCCTCACTCGATGATGGTACATGCTCTATGCTTCCCTTTGTCCCTTAGGTCACATGTATTCTTTGGAACATAATGCAAATCTCTGAATTACAAAAAGAAGTAAGAATCAGTTTCCACTGCCCTACCCCTCAAAGAATGCTGGGCAGAGTTACCTGATTAAAAAAGAAAGCTTGCAGTAAGGCATTTTTAACCATGAGATTCATACAGATTGGTTATTAAAAATGCAAACTCTATAGAGGGTGTAATGTCTTCCACGTCTGGAAGTAAAGGCCATGGGCACTTTGGGGTATATCCTTCTGGTTCTTCTTCAATACAAAACTGTATCGTTGTATATGTTAACTAACTGGAATTTAAATAAAAACCTGAACTACCAATAAAAAAAAAAATAAAGAAAAGATCTATCATTTAAAACCCAAACATGGGGCTGTAGCATACATGACAATGTCCTCCCGCTGAGTGGGTGCTGAGGACATCCTTCTGAGCCGGCAAAGACCTGCCCATCCTTGCGAGGGGCTGTGTGCTGTCGCCAACCACCCCCCAGGGATGGACAACGGGCTGGTTCCTGGGCATTTTACCAGCACACACGTGGTTTCTGTGCCCGCGAGCACAATCACATCCCTAGCTGTAAGGTCTGCACAGGGCAAAGCCAGCGGGATGCCCGGGTGGGTGGGCCTCTGCTCACCTGCATGTACCGGGGAGCCTCAAAGGGCACGAGGTCTGACAGGAACTTGAAGAGAAAGACCAATGTCTTCTTGCTGCTACTGTGGAAGCCCCTCGTGCTCCCAAAGGAGGCCTGGGGGGAGAGGCAGGCGTGAGAGCCAGCAGCCGGCTCCACGAGGGGCCATGCCACCCACGCGGGGATATGTCACGCCGCGGCCGAAGCCGAAGGGAGACACAGTCACCCGGGCTCCTGTAATCCCATGACGCCCGGCTCTGCCTGCCCGAGAAGACGGGCTGAAAATTTATTTAGAACAAAAGTTAAAAATATATTCCTCTAGAAAACAGTAACTGTGCTATCTTTTTGTGACCCTGAGGAGCACAGTGTATTAGCTGCCCTCACAAGGGCTCTTTCCTCAACAAATAATTACATTCTACACAATGAAGCCACTTCTGAACCACGGTAACTCCCAGACTCTTCTGTGAGGAGACAAGGTCACCGCAGGGGAGGGGGCCAAGAAGGGCAGCCCCTCGGGACGCTGAAAGTGCCCAGCTCACAAGAGAAAAGCCGGCCCTTCCAGGAACTGAGGGCGCCTGGGGATCCCACAACGGGCATCGGCCCTGACGGGCGGCAAGGAGCCTCTGCCCAGAGAACCGAACACACAGCCACACAAAGTCCTGCTCCGGCCCAGCTCCCCAGAACGCCACAGCCTCCGCCCCGAGGTGTGGGGGCCCGCGGCAGGGGGGTGCAGGATTCTGTCGAAATTCTTCTGAATAGGACGGTGATGCAGGCACAAGAAGCCACCAGGTGAGAGCAAGATGACAGCAGAGCAGGAGGATCCGAGGCTCGCCTTGTCCCACAAACACAAGTAGATAACAATCAAATCATCCCAAATGCCCCAGAACTCGACCTGAAGATGGAGAGAACACACTCCACAATGCTATAAAACTAGAAGTCAACCACAAGAAAAAATCTCGAAAGACCACAAATAAATGGAAGTTAAATATGCTACTAAAAATGAATGGGTGGGTCCTGCTACAACAATGGCTGTCACCGCGTTGCCCGCCCGGGCGCGGCTGGGCGTGGGGGGCGCTAGGGCCGTACAAGCCCGAGGCTTCAGCTCCGAACGGTCAGACTCCGGCGCGGGCTCGACCCGGGAGGCAGGTGGGGCCTTCGGGAAGAGAGAGCAAGCTGAAGAGGAACGACACTTCCGAGCACGCACTAAAGAACAACTGGCAACCTCGAAGAAACACCATGAAGAGGAAATCACCCATCATATAAAGGAAACTGAACGTCCGCAGAAAGAAACTGAGCGGCACAAGAAGAAGATCAAACATCTAAAACACGATGATGATGATTAAACATACACACTTCCCACAGCACAGCTACATATCATTGCCCGCTGCTATGGAAGCAGAGTTGTGGTTTTATTAATATCTGTGTACTGCCAACAGATTATAATAAACTGTCATCAGTGGAAAAAAAAATGAATGGGTGGGTCAACCAAGAAGTCAAAGAAGAAGAAAAAAAGTACATGGAAACAAATGAAGATGAACATGCAAGAGTCCAAAACCTGTGGGATGCAGAAAAGCAGTTCTAAGAGGGAAGTTTATAGCAATACAGGCCTTCAAGAAGCAAGGAAAATCTCAAATACAACCTAACCCTACACCTAAAGGAGCTAGAAAAGGAACAACAAACAAAACCTAAAACCAACAGAACGAAGGAAGTAATAAAGATGAGAGCAGAAATAAACAATAAATAAACAAACAAAAAAAGAAGCAATGAAATCAGGAGCTGGTTCTTTGGGAAAAAAAAAAGGCAATAAAAATGAAAAATCTCTAGCCAGACTTATCGAGAAAAAAAGAGAAAGGACTCCCAATAAACAAAATCACAAATTAGAGAGAAGTAACAACCAATACCAAAGAAATAGAAACAATTATGAGACATTATTATGAAAAACTGTATGCCAACAAATTGGACAACCTGGAAGAAATGGACAAATTCCTAGAAACATATAACCTCCAAAAACTGAAAGAGGAAAAAATAGAAAACTTGAACAGATCAATTCCCAGCAAAGAAATTCAATCATCAAAAAACTCCCAACCAGGCGCCTGGGTGGCTCAGATGGTTAAGCATCTGCCTTTGGCTCAGGTCATGATCCCAGGGTCCTGGGATCGAGTCCCACATCAGGCTCTCTGATGGGAAGGGGGCCTGCTTCTTCCTCTCCCTCTGCTGCTCCCCCTGCTTGGGCTCTTTCGCTCTGTCAAATAAATAAATAAATAAAATCTTAAAAAACAAAAAAAAAAACGCCCAACCAACGCAGGTCCAGGCCAGACAGCTTCACAGGTGAATTCTACCAAACATTTCTAGTTAATACCTATTCTCCTCAAACTATTCCAAAAAACTGAGGGAAGAAAACTTCCAAATTCGTTCTATGAGGCCAGCATTACCCTGACACCAAAACTAGATGAAAAACTCCACTAAGGAAGAACTACAGGCCAACAGCCCTGATGAACAAATATGCAAAAATCCTCAGCAAAATACTAGCAAACTGAATCCAACAATACATAAAAAAAATCATTCACCGCAGTCAAGTGGGACTTATTCCGGGGCTGCAAGGGTGGTTCACTATTCGCAAATCAATGTGACACATCACATCAATGAAAGGTTAAGAATCACATGATCATTTCAATAGAAGCAGAAAAAACATTTTACAAAGTACAGCATCCATTCATGATGATAAAAACCCTCAACAAAGTAGGTTTAGAGGGAACGTTCCTCAACATATAAAGGCTGTATATAAGAAACCCACAGCTGACATCACCCTACAAGGGAGAAACCGAGAGTCTCTTCCCCTAAGGTCAGGAACAAGACAAGAACGTCCACTCTCACCACTTTTATTCAACACAGGACTGAAGTCCCAGCATAGAAATCAGACCACAAACAAAAATAAATGGTATTCAAATCAGCAAGGAAGAAGTCAAACTTTCATTATCTGCAGATGACATAATACTACATATAAAAAACCCAAAAGACCACCAAAAAACTACTACACCTGATAAACAAATTCAGTAAAGTCACAAAATCAATGTCCAGAAATCTGTTACATTTCTATACATTAATAATGATGCAGCAGAGAGAGAAATTAAGAAAACAACTGCATTTACAACTGCACCAAAAACACTAAGATACCTAGGAATAAACCTAACCAAAGAGGTGAAAGACCTGTACTCTGAAAACTATAAACACTGAAGACAGAAATCGAAGAGGACACAAAGAAATGGAAAGACATAGCACGGTCACGGAGTGGAAGAACACAATGTTAAAATGTCTATACTAAAGCCATCTATACATTTATTTTTCATTTTTTTTAAAAGACTTTATCTGTGAGAGAGAAAGAGCACAAGCAGGGGGAGCAGCAGAGGGGGAAGGAGAAGCAGGCTCCCCACTGAGCAGGGAGCCCCACGTGGGACTTGATCCCAGGACCCCAGGATCATGACCTGAGCCGAAGTCAGACACTTAACTGACTGAGCCACCCAAGTGCCCCAGCAATCTATACATTTAACACAAACCTCACCAAGAAGTCCCGAGAGTTTATTTTTGCTTTTGTTTCCCTCGCCTCTGATGTCCAGTAAGGGGGATGAAGAACACTTGTGATGAGCACTGGGTGATTACAATAAAAACTAAAAAAAAAAAAGCCAGCAGATGGAAAGAAGACCACCCCTCATCACCATTCAGCTCCCACCGAAGAACAAGGGGCACCATTTCCCTCCCTCCAATCTGTCTACACGGAAGGGTTAGTGACTCTTGGCAACATCCACTGAGTCAAGAGTGAGCCTCAATGACACCCTGAAAACAGGACTAGAAACGAACCACCAGGAGAGAGCAATTTATGGGAAGGATTTATGTCCAGTGTCTAGAGTAACAGACACGTCCCCAGATCTGGGGCTGCAACAGCATTTAATGTCACTCCAGGAAAAAGACAGCTATTCTTATTAGAAAAATTACAAGTACACTGTGATGAGCCACGAACCATAATTCATGACCCCAAAGGGCTCAAATTTAAAATCATCACATTGGCCTATTTACATTAACATTCTTAAAAATAAAGATTAAAAGAGATCTTCAAACACTGAACATACACATAGACATCTGTCAAACTCACTGAACTGTTCACTTAAATTGGGTGCATTTTATATAAATTATACCTCAACAAAGTTGATTTAAAAGGTAAAAGGAAAAACAAAACCAAAACACCCCGCCACCAACCCAGCACCCGCGAAGCCTTCCTGTCCTTATGTCGTCCTGGGGACTCAGCAAATCCCAGGCCCGGGGGACACCTAGTCGGCCCCAAGCACCTTGATGCAGCTCCTGGCAGACAGAGACCACATGCTGACACAGGACACAGGGCAGCTCTGATGCCTGCCCAGGGTACCCCGGCTGGTGCCCCTGGGCCGACAGCCCACTGCTGCGAACACAAGGCTGATGGGAAAAGTAAAGAAAACACCACGACCACCCATCTTCTACCAACAGCCCAGGCCGGCAGAGGCTGGGCCAAGGCAGGCTTCCGCCGGTGCAGCCGCCCTCTGAACTGGAGGAAGGTGGGCTCTCCACAAGGAAGCAACAATTACAGCACTCACAGAGTGCCAGGAAAACCCAAAAACTCCACAAAGTTAGATGACTTTTTACATGACAGCTTTACACACCCAAGCTTCAGAGAGGATGTCTGGAAGACGCCTCCTCAGAAGCGGGACCCTGCAGGTCTGTGAACAGCGGCACAGACGGGGCAAGAACATGGACATGGCACCAACAGAGAGGCGGCCCCGGGAAGCTGAGGAGCACTCCTCTGGGACGCACCACATCGTGCAGGAGCAACAGCCTGACGGCACTCCCTGACCGGAGACCCCATCGAGCAGGTGTGGGGCAACGACGGGAAGGCCAAACCCTGGGCAGGGCGGCACAGAGCTCCGTGCGGAGGCCGAGAGGAAGAGACCTGACCATGGAAGGCGTTTGTTCCTAGGATGGCGAGTCGGGGGGCGGGGGGAGCTCACCTGGAACCAATCTGAGTAGGGTGGGAACACAGAGGGGCCCTCTAGTGCAGCCTGACGCACCACCAGGAACGCAGTGACCATGCTGTCCAGGTCGCAGCTCTGGAACGCACGGGCCAGCAATCGGGCCACCCAGTCTAGGAGAGAACAACCCATCAGAGCTGGCAGACGAGGACCTGCGTGCGTGCTGCTGGGGGTAGGGCGTGCCAGTTAGGGGGACTGGGTCACGAACACCCAGAGCAGCCCAACACCGACTACGGGAGGCTGCACCCAGCAGCACCGGCACCATGGCAAGTGGACGAAGGCCCAGACGAGAAGACACAGGGCACCATCTGGGCAGTGAGAGGAGCAGCGACCCCCACCTGCAGGCTCACCCACAAACAACAGGACACGCACACACGCACGCGCCACGGGGCCCCCACCCAAGTGCACCTTTAACCAGCTGCTGCGCCTCAGGTAAGCAGATCACCAGTGTAGACACACAGGAGAGCACATGCTGCCAGTTCACCTCATGTGTTTCCAGAACTTCTTGTAAGTGGCCAACCAACTCCTCTGGACGCAGTACCGCAAAGAGCTGAAACAGAAGTTCCCCAACTTGGCTGTCGAAAACAAGACGCTCATTGGGCAGCTGGATCCTCACCCCAACCCACTTCAGGGGCGCTTCTGCCTCTGTCCTCAGGGTCAGTGTGGGGGCAGGAGGGTTCTTATTTCAAGGAGAAGGTGTTCTGCCCAAGTGGTAAGTTCAGCCTCTGGGCCCCCAATGGTCTAGGCGGGAGTGGCTGTGTCTGCGGAGCCCGCCGGCCTTACTCTCCATGGACGGGGGGCCACAGAGCCCCGTGGCAGGTGCCACCCAGCGTAGGAGCAGCAGGGCGGAATGCTGCACAACACCCACCCTGCGGTACAGACTGGTTAGCAAAGGGTGGGTCTTCGCGAAGCTCCAATCTCTCTGCATTTGAACAGCATCAGAAACTTCATTCAAGAATAAAAACAGACAAAAACGTCCAGTCAGTCATAATTAAAAGCTGTCTTTTGTTTCGATGTCAAAAAAACTACCTTGTTTTAATGTGCATTTTTCGATTATTAGCAAACACTTCTGCTTGTGAACCGTTTTCTGCTATCAAGTGTCCGTGTCTTTGGCCCAGTTCCCTGCTGCTAACCCTTTACCATATTTGCTGTATTTTCTAATCCATCAATTCTATTTTAATTTTCCTGCTTTTCAACTTTAACGGTGGGTAAGCAATCAGCGAGGATGCTGCTGGAAGGGTGTCTGGCTGGGGGGGGCACCAGCTCCTGCCCAAGCCCCTCACAGAGTGCGACAGCGCATGCCCGAAGCTTCCCTCGTGCCGCGTGAGGACCCTGCCCGGGAACACAATGCTGCACACAGAGAATGTTCGGTGGGCATGGTGTTCATTTCAGCCCCCGAGGAACAGTGAAGGCTTGCAAACACCATCACTGAATGGATGGTGACATCAACCCAAGGACACTCGTGGGTACATGACATGGCAACGACCACTTCTGAGAAGAGCCTGTAACTACAGCTGACCCTTAAACAACACGGATTTGAAATGTGTGGGTCCACTTACATGTGGTTTTTGCCTAATAAATACAGTACAGTTCTGTTAATGTATTCTCTTATGTCTGAATGTCATTTTCTTTTTCCAGCTTACTTTAACGTAAGAACACAGTACACAGTACATGTCGCATACAAAATACATGTTAATCAAGTGTTTCTTACCAGAGGGCTGTTAGTTACATTTGGGAAAGTCAAAAAGCTACACGCAGATTTTCACCTGCACAGGGGGTCAGGGTCCCTAACCCCCACATCATTCAAGGATCAACTGTGCATAAGAAAATGCTTATGATAGATGATTTATTATAACAGAAACTAGGAATTCACTCAGATAAACTAGATTTTCAAAATATATTGAGAAAACACCACAAGAAAAGTTTCACATACTTCTATTCTGATGATGCTATGGGTGACAGTTCTCCTTCCCATACTTCGTTAATTCTGAATTTTCTTTATGAGAATGTGTAACTTTTGAATGAAAGGATATTTGACGATAACGTGTCCTCGAGGCTCGAGCTGTCTCAGAGCACTAACATTTGGGGCCCACGCTCCCGTGAGGAAGGCAAACAAGCCGGGTCCTGGAACCCACCTCTCAGCACAGGCTTGTGAGTTAGCACCTGAGTCAGAGTATGACTGAAAAATCTCTTTGGCGCATCTGTTGAAACTGCTGCGCCATACGTGTGTCCACAGAACACGCCAAACCTGCAAAACACAGCATCAAGAGGTCCAGCAGCACTGACAGCATCACATGTACATCACCAACAGCTCATCAAAGGCTACTGCCCAGCAAGGTTGCATGGCCCCAAGGCCCCCAAGTTCATGAAGCGCACTGGCTGGCCCTTCCCATAACCCTGAAGCACCCACTCAGCCAGGCCACTGTGCCACAGACTTGAAAAGTCCAGTGGCGCTGGGTGGCCCCAGTGGTGAAGCATCTGCCTTCAGCTCGGGTCCTGATCTCAGGTCCTGGGATCGAGTCCCACCCAGAGGGAGCCTGCTTCTCCCTCTCCTCCCAGCTTGAGCTCTCTCTTTCTCGGTAGGTAGGTAGGTAGGTAGGTAGGTAGGTAGGAAGGAAGGAAGGAAGGAAGGAAGGAAGGAAGAAGAAAGGAAGGAAGGAAGGAAGGAGGGAGGGAGGGAGGGAGGGAGGGAGGGAGGGAGGGAGGGAGGGAAGGAAGGAAGGAAGGAAGGAAGGGAGAGGGAGAATGAGGGAGGGAGGGAAGGGAGGGAGGGGAGAGAGGGGAGAGAGAGGAGGGAGGGAGGGAGAAGTTCAAAGAAGGGCAAGTCGCATAAGAAAGGAGCTGCCCACGGAGTAGGGAAGCGGAAAGGGAAGGCTGGGTCAGTCTACAGCAACATGCAAACCTCACAAAGCCTCAGTCTGCCCATCTGTGAAATGGGGATCAGGAGCAGCAGGGCAATAGCCAGGCTGGCCCAAAGCACCTGGCATGCACAGGCACTCAGATGCAGCAACGGTTCCTGAAACCAAGGACATCCCATGCCAGGGAAGGGACCAAGGACAGTGGGCAGGATGTCACTGATGGGGCAGGAGGGATGAAGGGTGTCAGGGCTGCCTAACAGCGGGGCCCTGGAGGCACTTCGTGCACCAGGGTCAGAGTCACTGAAGCCCTACCCAATTCCTCAGAGAGAGGAGCCCCCGTCACACACGCCATGAGGAGACACCGGGCAGGAAGGGTGGCCGTGGGCGCTACTAGCCTTCCTGGGGGACAGACCCGGGATGCAAACCCCATGTGCCAGGAAGGCTGGCCATCCAGACCAGGGTGGGGTGAGGGCAGTGTCTGGTTTTATTGCAAATACTGGCAACAAATTAAGAAACTTAAAAAGAGGGGCACCTGGGTGGCTTAGTCAGTTAAGTGTCCAACTCTTGGTTTCAGCTCAGGTCATGATCTCAGGGTCATGAGAATGAGCCCCGAGTCGAGCTCTGCACTCAGTGGGGAGTCTGCTTGGGACTCTATCCCTCTCCCTGTGCCCCTCTCCCCCCCGGCTCCCTCTCTCTCAAGTAGATCGATCTTTAAAAAAATAAAAGGAAATTTAAAAAGAAATACATCTACAGTCATTCTCTGACTCTCAGGACATCAGTTCGAGTAATCCAATCAGGCGTGTTATAAAAATGCATAAAATCTAGAAAACAGAGCAATGCTGTATAAACAGTTTAAGTGAAGTATTGAATTATATGGCATGTGTGAGGATTGCTAAAGAAACTGGAATACAGGCAATCGGGGGCAAAACAATGAGAGATCGGAGGGATGTGCAAGGCCTGGGAATGCTGGAAAACTCTCCTGGATTCCCAGAAAAGAACCAGCTTCCAGGTCAGCCTCACCCACATTACTTTGAAGCAAATCTGATCCCCCCAACAACCAATTCTAGCATGTACCTCCACAGAGCCATGCAGAGAGAAAGCTAATGTGGCAAAATCGTAAGCACAGGTGAATGTGAGAGCCAGCCTTGGCGAGCAGAGAGAAAGCTCAGGGGGAAGAGAGGGCATGCAGTGCAGGCACGGGGGGACAGCCCAGCCCATGAGAAGGTCACTCCAGGGGTGCCCTGGGTGGGAATCTGGGCTCACACGAGTGCAGACACCCAGGTGACAGAGGATTCATGCAGTAGAGGGCCAGTCAGCCTCCTGCTTCATCTACAGAAGGAGCAGTGGACCAGAGGGCTCCTAGGGCTCTCCAGCAGGTGTCCTCAAGGACACTGTCCCAGTGGCAGAAAGCATCTGCAGGACGCAGCTGCTGATACTTCACCTAGGACCTTCGAGATAGTAGGCACCACCCCCTAAGCATGCCCAGCAGGCCTGCCCCTAGGACGTACCAGCTCTTCACTGCCCTGTACGCTGGGGATTCATCCTGCAGCTCGGTGGCCAAAGCCTCAAGAGTGACTGACAACATATAGTGGGAACAGAAAACACATTAGCTCAGCCTCACAATCCATCAAAAATGATCCCCAGGGGCACCTGGGTGGCTCAGTCGTTAAGCGTCTGCCTTTGGCTCGGGTCATGATCCCACGGTCCTGGGATCGAGCCCCGCGTCGGGTTCCTTGCTTGGCGGGGAGCCTGCTTCTCCCTCTGCCCACTCCCCCTGCTTGTGTTTCCTCTCTAGCTGTCTCTCTCTGTGTCAAATAAGTAAAATCTTTAAAAAAAAAAAAAAAAAAAATGATCCCTGACCAGCTATCACTGGACAAACCAGGTAATGAGTCTTTGGGAAAGGAAAGCTCCCCAATTTCCAAGTAACAGACCTCATCAGCCTCCTATGCCCCCCAAGGGTACAAGTCCTCCAAGCATCCCAACGGTACCAAAGACCTAAGCCTTTTAAATCAATCAAAACTCGGAGGCAGTAAAATGCTTCCCTAATTACAGCTCTGGACAGTAAACGCAAAGCCACCAAGAACTGAAAGCCAGGAGAAACGGCAGAGGGTAAGTTCTGGCGAATACGTGAAGAGAAAAGGCAGGAAACCTTGAGAGTCCCTGATAAGCAAACTAGCTGTTGCAGTCTGGGGTTTGGAGCAGACGACTCACACATCAGCATCCTCTGAAGCACGTCCATGGCGAGCTGTCAAAGCAGAACACGGGGCACGGTTACTCACTTCTGTGTGCTGAACACTAGCGGTCACCCTACGGGGAAATGAGACAGCGCCTCCACACAACACCCCGACACTGGGGAGACTCAACAGAGTGAAAAGGAAGACTTTCTGCCAGGATCCGCCAGGATCCCCAGGACCTCTCTCAGTGTGGCCCAGGGCCCCGGCTGCCTCCTGCTGGCCACCCACGGCCCCACGGCTCACGGGGTCGGTGCAGAGGAGTTCTGCAGGTAAACAGCTCTCCGATTCTGGGCCATGGTGAAGGCTTTCACCCTCAAGAACTCTGGAAACCAGGGGCGCCCGGGTGGCTCAGTCGTTAAGCGTCTGCCTTTGGCTCAGATCATGGTCCCAGGGTCCTGGGATCGAGCCCCACATCGGGCTCCCTGCTCCGCGGGAAATCTGCTTCTCCCTCTCCCACTCCCCCTGCTTGTGTCCCCCCCTTAAATAAATAGATGGATGTGGGGTCACCGGTCCAAGAGCTTCCAACTTGGTCACACGGGCCGGTCCCAGACTCTACATCTGATCTTACCTGGGCCATCTGTGCAGGCTCCACACTTCTCAGACCCGAGTTTTTCTGAAATCCTCTCAAAACAAACAACTGCACAAAATCTGAAAACCACAAAACCCAAGTATTTACATGCACTGTGGTCTCCAAACAGATGTGGATCATGCAGAGGCCCTGCCTCCCAGCACCTGGGAAGGTGAGGACCCACGTCAGTTCGCCCAGCTCCATACCCCACACACAAGCCTTCACAGGCCCCGCCGACCAAACCCTTCCTGAACCGGACTTCGCTTCCTGCCACTCTATTTGAAAGGGAAATACTCATAATCAGTCGAGTTTATGGGAAGGATTTTTTTCTTAAAACAAAGTAGTATCTGGGGCCCCTGCCGCCTCAGTCGGTGAAGCGTGTGACTCTTGATCTCAGGGTTGTTACATCTGAGCCCCATGCTGGATGTAAAGATCACTTAAAAAAAAAAAAAAAAAAACTATCATCTAAGGTTTTCACGTGGATTGTCTCTCCAGCCAATCTCCTAAACGAATAATGTAAGGACTGTTCTAAAAGGACCCGGAAACATTACATTCTAGGGAACAAGTCAGGAAATAGACTCCTATCTCCTGAAAAGATTAGAAGATTTTCTGTCTCATCTTCAATTTAAACTTAAAACTCTCTTGACTCTAGACTCAGGAATTCATAAGGATCTCACATCCATCACCAAGAAAGTTTTAGGAAAAAGGAACACATCTTTTGCAATGTAAAAAATTTCATATGCTACCTGTATGGAACATTCCACTTCTCATCTAATTTTTTATTTGTAGATTTCATTCTTCAGACATTACTGGCAACGGCCAGGATCTGCTGGCTCAGAGACGAGCCAGGGACAGGGACCACTCTAAGGGAAAGGCGCCCAGAGAAACAAGTGTGATAAGAGGACAGCCACGCTGAGCTGCTGCCCAGGCCAGCACAGCATATGCCTGCGCTCACCCCGAGTCTGATGTTTACATCAGACCGGGAGCTGAGCATGCTTGCCAGAGTTCCTACTTTGCTTTTCCTGGGTACCTTTTAAAATAACCACTTAGAACTGAACCCACAGGGCGCCTGGGTGGCTCAGTTGGTTAAGCGACTGCCTTCGGCTCAGGTCATGATCCTGGAGTCCCGGGATCGAGCCCCACATCAGGCTCCCTGCTCGGCGGGGAGTGTGCTTCTCCCTCTGACCCTCTTCCCTCTAGTGCTCTCTCTCATTCTATCTCTCTCAAATAAATAAAATCTTTAAAAAAAAAAAAAAGATCTGAACCCACAAAAAGTTAGTGACCTCAGGCCCACCCACCTTACAAGTAACAGGTGCCTGCTCTCTGTCTCCCCCTCGCTGTGAGCTTCCCTGGCTCACTTCACCCCTCCTTTTCTGGGATCTGAAAGTTAACACATTCCTGTGACTTGACTTCTTCCTGTGAATGCCCTGAAGCTGCACCTCCAATCAACATGGCTTTGGAGGTTTTCACTTCCCCAAAGCGGGAGCGCAAATGCTGAGGAAGCTACCTGCCAACCCCATGTGGGTGGCGTGTGCCTCCTAATTCAGTAGGTCATAACCAGCGTATTTTAAACACTCCAGCTATAGGCCCCCAAACACAATGGGTCAACAGACTGACTTTATCAAAGCTTGCACACCATTCAAGGGTAAGCAGGCTCACACAGCAGGTCCAGGTGGAGATGGTTCCATTCCAAATTCGCATGCTAGGGGTGTGGGGCTGTCCTGTTCCCACAGACTTTCGCAGCATTCCCACGGACCTAAACGTTGCCCGTGAACCTGCCCCTGTTGTGAACTTACCAGAAAGCATAGCCCTGGCGATGTCAGTGTGCTGAGTGGACACTTCCATCTGCTCACAAAGAAGGCACAGGTCCCTGAAGAGCCACGCAACCGTGGCCCGCGTGTCAGCATGACTAGGGACAAAGCACACAGCTCACCCTGGGCCCACCATCGTCCCATATCTATCAGGCCCTTTTCTTCCACATGCACTTCACTAGGAAGCCTGAGAACCAGCTGGGAGCCACCTGAGCTGTCCCCAGAAGTCACGACAGGGCCTGCTGACTCAGAAGAGCTGGCTGCTACTGACATTAAAAATAATCATTTTCATGGGACGCCTGGGTGGCTCAATCGTTGAGCCTCTCCCTTCAGCTCAGGTCATGATCCCAGGGTCCTGGGCCCGCTTCTCCCTCTCCCACTCCCCCTGCTTGTGTTCCCTCTCTTGCTGTGTCTCTCTCTGTCAAATAAATAAACAAAATCTTAAAAAAAAAAAAAAAAGCAATCATTTTCAAAAAATGTATTTGGGATAGCTTACTACTACTCGGGGGAAAAAAGAAAGTTCAGTAAGAGTAAAATAATCAGGGCCGCCTGGGTGGCTCAGTCGGTTGAGTGACTGCCTTTGGCTCAGATCGTGATCCTAGAGTCCTGGGATCGAGTCCCACATCAGGCTCCGTGCTCAGTGGGGAGTCTGCTTCTCCCCCTGACCTTCCCCCCGTCATGTGCTCTCTCTCTCTCTCTCTCTCTCTAATAAATAAAATCTTTAAAAAAAAAAAAAAGGTAAAATATTCAGAAACAAATAAAGCAGTAGCAGCCTGAAGCAACAGACTTGTCATCAAGGGCATGAGCCATGCAGAACCACCTGGGGAGCCTGGCGCTGGAAGGAGGAGAAGCAAGGGACCTCACCTGGCGACTTGCACTGTTCTGAGGACTAACGACACCTGGGACCTTTTCCTGTGCTTGGCCTCATCTGTACCCTCTTTGGACAAATGTCTATTGAAATCCTTGGTCCATTTTTAATTGAATTATTTGCCTTTTTATTGTTGAGGTACAAGAGTTCTTTATTCTAGATACTAGATTATCAGATACACGATTTGCAATTAATGTCTCCCATTCTGTGCATGGTCTTCTCATGATCTTAACAGTGTTGACACACACACACGTTTTAAAACTTGATGAAGCATAATTTTCCTTCTCCATTTTCTTCTGTTGCATGAGTTTTAGGCATCTTGTCCAGAAAACAATTGCCTAATCCAAGCTCATGCAGACATAACTCTGGGTTTTCTAGAGGTTTTATGGCTTTAGCTCTTACACTGATATCTTAGATGCACTATGACTTAGTTGCTATGTGTGGTATGAAGCAGGGGTCCAACCTCATTCTTTGCATGTACATGTCCAGTTGTCCCAATATCATTTATTGAATGGACCATTCCCCTCCATTCAATGGTCTTGGCACCCTTGTCAAAAATCAATTGACAGGGGCGCCTGAGTGGCTCAGTGGGTTGAGCATCTGACTCTTGGTTTTGGCTCAGGGTTGTGAGATCAAGCCCTGCATCGAGCTCTGCACTCAGTGTGGAGTCTGCTCAGGACTCCCTATCTCCCTCTGCCCCTCCTGCTCATGCTCTCGCTCTTTAAAATAAATAAATAAATCTTTAAAAAAATATTCAGGGTTTATATCTGGACTGGAAATGCTACTCCACTGCTCTAGGTCTACCCTTAGGCCAGCACCACAGTCCAGCTCTGTAATAAGTTCGGAAAACAGGACCTGTGAATCCCCCAATGTCGTTCCCTCTGAAGAATTTTTGGCTATTCAGGGTCCCTTGCATCTCCACTTCAGTATCAGAATCAGCTTGTCAATGTATGTAAAAAACTCGAGTTAGATTTGATGGAGATTATACTGCATGCATAAATCAGTTTGGGGGGGGATACTGTTATCCTAAGAATATTAAGTGTTCCAATCCATGAACATGGAATGTCTATTTCTTTAGGTCTTAATTTCTCTTAGTTATGTTTTATAGTTTCTGGTGTACAAGTCTTGCACTTCTTTTATTTTATTCCTAATTTATTATTTTCAATGTTCTTTTTTTTTTTTAAAGATTTTATTTATTTGAGAGAGAGAGAGAACGAGAGATAGAAAGCACGAGAGGGAAGAGGGTCAGAGGGAGAAGCAGACTCCCTGCTGAGCAGGAAGCCCGATGTGGGACTCGATCCCGGGACTCCAGGATCATGACCTGAGCTGAAGGCAGTCGCTTAACCAACTGAGCCACCCAGGCGCCCTTCAGTGTTCTTTTAAATGAAATTCTTTTTTTTTTTTTAAGTTTTATGTAAATCATCTCTATACTCAACTTGGGGCTCGAACTCATGACCCCGAGATCAAGAGTCACAGGCTCAGGGCGCCTGGGTGGCTCAGCCGGTTAAGCGGCTGCCTTCAGCTCAGGTCATGATCCCAGGATCCTGGGATCGAGTCCCGCATCGGGCTCCCTGCTCAGTGGGGAGCCTGCTTCTCCATCTCCCTCTGCCTGCCTCTCTGCCTACTTGTTCTCTGTCAAATAAATAAAATCTTTAAAAATAAATAAATAAATAAATAAATAGAGTCACAGGCTCTTTGGGCTGAGCCAGCCAAGTGGCCCAAATGAAATTTTAACTTCCTTTTCAGATTGTTGTTATTGTATAAAAACACAACTGACTTTTGCATATTGCGGTTGTTTCTGGAAACTTGCTCAACTTGCTAATCAGCTCTAATTAATCTTTCAGTGTGGGTTCCTTAGGGTATTCAATATGCAAGATGATGTCCTCTGCAAATAGTTTTACTTTTTCATTCCAATCTGGATGCCTTTTTTTAACCCCCCTATGCCTAGTGAGTGCATAGGTCAGGAAATATGTTTTTCTTAGTTAGATTTGTCAGTCTTCTCTAAGTGCTAGGTCTTTTATCATAGTTAGGCCTTTCCCTCTCCAAGATTACAAAAACATCTTCCATGATTTCTTCTAGTACTTTCATAATTTCATTTATTCCCCCTTTGATTCACCTACACTTGTTCTGCTATAAGGTGAAGATCCAATTTTTCAAATCCAGAGGTGATCAACACCTCACAACGCCACTGGTTTCAACACAGCTTTTTCAACTGTGCTTCAGGGTTCCCCAAACTAGACACTCAGTTGTTCCTGACCAGATGACAAATATACCAATCCCGGCTTTCTGTATGGCTGGGGAAGGAGCAATGCCTGGCTGCCGAGAGCACGACAGGCAAAAGCTCCAAACGCCTCTTCTGTGTGCTTTCAGACGTACTGAGTCCCTCTCCTTCACCTTCCATTAGAGGTGCTCAGCACTCCCATCCTGTGGTCTTTTAGGAACAGAGTGAGCAGCCACACTGCTGGCTTAGGGCAAGTCTATCTCCTAAGTCATTTACCACAGGTCTATCTGCCTTCTGCTTCCAAACCTTTGCTTCTCCTATCTCTTCTCCTACACTTGCCCTCTTGAGGAGGTTATCTTTATATAAAGTCACTTTCCTTACTTTTGGTGGGATTTCAGGAGGAAATAAAAGTAGGTACACACATTCCATCAACCATATTTGCCTGAATGTCTCTTTTTAAATTTTTAAAAAAAGGGGCGCCTGGGTGGCTCAGTTGGTTAAGCGACTGCCTTCGGCTCAGGTCATGATCCTGGAGTCCCGGGATCGAGTCCCGCATCGGGCTCCCTGCTCGGCGGGGAGTCTGCTTCTCCCTCTGACCATCTTCCCTCTCGTGTTCTCTATCTCTCATTCTCTCTCTCTCTCAAATAAATAAATAAAATCTTTAAAAAAAGAAATAAATAGGGGCGCCTGGGTGGCTCAGATGGTTAAGCATCTGCCTTCGGCTCAGGTCATGATTCCAGGTCCTGGGATCGAGTCCCACATCGGGCTCCCTGCTCCGCGGGAGGCCTGCTTCTCCCTGTGCCTCTCTCTCTCTCTCTCTCTCTGTCTCTCATGAATAAATAAAATCTTTAAAAAATAAATAAATAAATTTTTAAAAAAATTTTCTATGGGGCACTTGGGTAGGTCAGTTAAGCATCTGCTTTCAGGTCATGATCCCAGGACCACTGAGCGCTTGTCAGGCTCCTCCACTCAGCTGGGACCCTGCTTCTCCCTCTCCCTCTGCCTCTCCCCTCCACCCAACTCATGCTCTCTCTCTCAAACAAATAAAATCTTAAAAAAATTTTTTTTTTTCTAGGGGCGCCTGGGTGGCTCAGTTGTTAAGCATCTGCCTTCGGCTCAGGTCATGATCCCAGGGTCCTGGGATCAAGCCCCGCATCGGGCTCCCTGCTCGGCAGGAAGCCTGCTTCTCCCTCTCCCACTCCCCCTGCTTGTGTTCCCTCTCTCACTGTCTCTCTCTCTCTGTCAAATAAATAAAATCTTAAAAAAAATTTTTTTCTAGATAAGTTTATTTATGTTTTACTTATTTAAGTAATCTCTACACCCAACATGGGGCTTGAACTCACAATCCTGAAATCAAGAGTCTCATGCTCTTCCAACTGAGCCAGGCAGGCACCCCCTTTTAAAAAAAAATTTTTTTTATTTATTTGAGGGGCGTCTGGGTGGCTCAGTCATTAAGCATCTGCCTTCAGCTCAGGTCATGATCCCGGAGTCCTGGGATCGAGCCCCGCATCGGGCTCCCTGCTCAGCAGGAGGCCTGCTTCTCCCTCTCCCACTGCCCCTGCTTGTGTTCTCTCTCTGTGTCTCTGTCAAATAAATAAATAAAATCTTAAAAAAAAAAAAAAGATTATATTTATCTGAGAGAGAAAGAGAGCACAAGCAGGGGGAGCAGGAGAGGGAGAAGCAGACTCCCCGCCAAGCAGGGAGCCCGTACGGGGCTCGATCCCAGGACCCTGAGATCATGACCTGAGCCGAAGTCAGGCACTCAACTGACTGAGCCACCCAGGCACCAAATTTTTTAAAATATTTTATTACAAGAGAACCTGGCTGGCTTAGGTAGTAGAGTGTGTGACTCTCGATCTCAGGGTTGTGAGTTTAAGTCCCGAGCTGGGTAGAGACATTACTTAAAATCTTAAAAAAAAAAATATTTATCCCATGATATATCTTTTTTTTTTTTTTTTTAAGATTTTGTTTATTTATTTGACAGAGAGAGAGAGAGCACAAGCAGGGGGAGAAGCAGACTCCCCGCCGAGCAGGGAGCCCGATGCAGGGCTCGATCCCAGGACCCCGAGATCATGACCTGAGCTGAAGGCAGACGCTTCCCCGACTGAGCCACCCGGGCGCCCCTCCCATGATATATCTTATACAAAGAAAACATTACCAATTTTGTGCAAAACAAAGACTTTGATTATAACATATGTTCTCTTTAAATAATGAAGTAAGAGTTTCTCTCATTGATTTTGGCTTTGATATATATGTCAGTCATAAAGGCTAGATTACAAAACATAAACCTTGTAATGCTAAGATAATGTTGAGTTATCACTGGTACCTTTCCAACAGCTCCTGCAGGCTCACAATGTTTTGTATGTGAAGACGCCACACAGCTTCAAGCAACAAAGAATTCTGAAGAAAATAAGAGTGCTATGAGTCCTCCGTGCACCTATTTTTCCTACCAAATGCAGAGCCTATACACTGAGCTACTGGACTCTACTGACAGTTGAAATGCAGTAACAGGCACAGCTTCCAACACAGCCTTGGTCCCTTTGGCTTCAGACACTCACCATCACCAGCCTTCATCTCCTCGTCCCCCAGTACCCTGTCCAGCCTCTAGTGTAACCTGCTTCTAGGACTTTCTCCACTGTGGCCAATACGAGATTCCAAAATAGGGATTGGACATATCCATCTCTTCTCTTCTTTGGACCCTTTACTGGCTCTTCACAGCTTTCACAACAAACTTGAGACTCTTGGACGCAGCACAGGACAGTTGTAACCCAGTTTCTGTCTCCTATCCCAGCGAGGTACCCCCTTCTGCAGCAGATACCCTTCCCCCTGCCCCCAGGACATCCTGCTCATGTCTCCTGTGTCCCACGGCCTACTTTGTCCTGCCCTCCATCACTCGACAAAATGGCACTCCTCCTCCACACTCCACGCAGCTGCCAGCTCTCAGAGCCTTTCCCAGCCACCAGTCACGCAGCTGTCCACTCTCTACTCTCCCCTGCACACCTGTGGACACCTATGTCATTACAACTCACAGGCATTTGGCTGCCCCTCCCTCCAGCTATATAGCTGTGAGCACCCATCAAATGCTGACACATCTAGAGACACATATGTAATGTATGCTGGATAAAAGAATGGGGGGAAACCACGAATGCACCATCACCTGGGTTTTTTCTTTCCTTTTTCTATATTCTTACTAATAACAATCTAATAACCAGTTACCTTGAGTTCTTTCAACTATTCAAAAATCTGTGAACCTACTGAATTCAAAATGCTTCAAAAGAATAAAAACAATTTTTAAGTTATAATCTTCTAGTTTCTTATACTACCCTGGAAAATTGTTCATAATTATACCTAAGAACAAAGAACATGTTTCTGTGGCCCACTCTAATAAATATTACTAAATATGGGTGAATACTGACAAATACAGTAATTGAAGGTACCTCTTTCCCACCCACAGAGGCAACTGCTGAATGGTTCTCTCCCTGCCCCGTGATTAATGAGGTGCTTGGTGAAATCCCTAAGAACATGCTGGGACTCTGTTGTCTCCACACAACAGAATGCTGCTTGAGAAACCCCAAGAGTCAGCGTTGCAATGTCAAACTTACCTGTACTTCCCACAGTTCTTGACAAAAGGAGAAACGAGAGAACATACTATGGGCTAATAAATGCTGAGCCACCTCCAATAAGGAAGACATTTTCTTCTGAAAAGAGAGATTAAATCTTTTCTGAAACAATATTAAAGAAATGTCCTATTCTCCCAAATAGCTTAAAAGTAACGAGTAAGCACCATTAGCTCATGGCACTGCGTCTTACCCTTTGCTCTGCGTTCAGCAGCACCCTGGGGGAGGGCTCGCCACTGGACGCACAGATCTGCACAATGCTGGAGGCCACTGTCCGGCTGGACAGCACAGCCACTGGCACACCCAGTCTCGAGGCTTGATCCCGTAAAGCAGAGCCTTAAAGACAACACAAAAAGCCGGAGACACACTACAACGTCTAAAACAGAAGACCTGGGGTTTAAAAACCCTTTTAAGCTGCAGCTACCAGGGGCGCCTGGGTGGCTCAGTCGGTTAAGCGTCTGCCTTCGACTCAGGTCATGATCTCAGGGTCCTAGGATCGAGCCCCGCATCGGGCTCCCTGCTCAGTGGGAAGCCTGCTTCTCCCTCTGCCTGCCGCTCCCTCTGCTTGTGCTCTCTCCCTCTCTGACAAATAAATAATAAAACCTTAAAAAAAAAAAAAAAGCTGCAGCTACCAGCCTCCTGAGTATCCAGCCTCTGGTCTGCATTTAATAAAGTAAGAATGCTCAACAGCCTGGAAAAAGATAATGCCTACAAGCAAATTGTTGTCTAACTTATTTGACCTCCGAAACTGGGTTGTGTTTTTTTTTTTTAAAGAAAAGGAAACTGTAACACATGCCCATTATCTCCAGGGCTCTGAAAATGCATACCAATATGTAAATTAAAACTAATAGTAGTTATAAAGATTCCAAATGACAATATTAGAAATTATCAACCACTGGGGTCAAGAAA